TTCACCCTTTCACACACATTCACACAGCGATGCACAACATCGGGAGCAATTTGGGGTTCAGTATCTTGCTCAAGGATACTTCAACATGTGGCGGGAGGAGCCAGGGATCGAACCAACAACCTTCCGATTAGGGGACGACCCGCTCTGCCCTCTGAGTGTCTGTGTGTCTGTCAACAGAAAAACAGTATTACCATATACTGAATCGTAACTGGGGGTGTAAGAATAAGAGTTTCATGATATTAGGTTTTGTGATATTGTACTGATTCTCAAAATGTATTGCTTTTTAATAAGTAGTTTTCGTGCACAAATGTGTGGCATTGATTTATGTTGTGTTGTGGTTAATGGTTATGTGTATGTGCATACTATGACATTTTTCCTAAAATCTGATTTTAAAAAACCTTGCTTACAGTATCGCGATTTATCGCACTATACTGACTCGTTATCCCTGTATCGTGATACATAATGTGTCGTCAGCTTCTTGCCAATACTCAACCCTAACTGTAAAACTGCCAGTCAGCCACTAGTCAGTGGCCCAACAAACACAATCACAAACACCCACACCCACACCATCTCCAGTTTCCTGCTCCACTCCTGATGCTGTTTAATGTGCGAGTGTCTCTGCAGGCACTGACACAGCAAAACAGACTGCACTATGGACTACTACACAGCAGTGCTGCATTCCACTATAACCACACAACAGCTTCAAACACTGTTGGTCGGCGCTATTCACTCATATGTGAAATGGTGTTTCACATTCACATACAGACACTTGTTTTCAATCCAATTTAAGGTAATGGACATGTGAATTATGTGAAAACAACATTCACATGTGTGGTGTTGGTTGTTTCTTGCATTAAACCAATGGCTCTGTAGCTATAAATGTTAAATCTCAAAAGTCTGAGCTTTCTTGAACACACCATTGATGAAAAGTGTCATAACACTCTGTATTCACAACTGCTTTAACGTGCTCGGATAGTGCAACAAAATAAAAGAGACTAAATGAGAAACTGAGGCCTGGAGTGTCCCTCTGTAGCAGAACTGCTCTGTTGCTCCTTCACACCCCCTCTGTCTGTCTCACCCCTGGGACGAGGAGGAATTTCCTGAGAGAAGGAGGGATGACTTTTCCATACACTTGGCGAGGGAGAGACACAGAAAGACAGACAGAGAGGGAGAAGAAAACAACATCAGATGGTGACCTGGGTTGACCTCTCGTAGCCACCAGTGAGAATATTGTGCCGAGCAGCTCCAGAGCAGCTGATACAGATGTAACCAGTGCATTGATGTGATGTTTACAAGAGGAGTGCAGCGCTGCCAGAGGAAGCACACCGGACCCACATGGTCTCTTCATGCTAAGCTCGCAGGCCGGCCCGGTGCCTGGAAAATGCAGATGTACAATTCCCACAACAGTAAGTGTCCCTGAGCAAGACGCTGAGCATAGTTGTGGACTATCCAAACTCATTCTTCATATCACTGTGACTGTGACTGTATTACATCGCTAATATTTTGGGTGCAAATTCGACATCTTGCTCTGTAGGGGATTCTATAAGACATCGTGAAAACACTTGATTTTTGAGTGTGCAGTTGATTTTTTCGCCACAAAACAGGAAATGGAGGAACTGCTCACAGCTGCAAAACATTCCAAAAAAATGTAGATGCTGATATAACAGCTTGAGGAAAATCTCAGAAAACAAAAAGTAACAAGCATTTTGTTTGTTTTTGAAGCTAAAATTCCGTTGACATTCCAGAGTCACAGTTTGATTGACGTTGGTTAGCTCAAGTCTTATAGCATTTCCTGTTTGTGCAAAAAGGAAACGGATTATTTTTACACTATACTAGAAAAAACAGTATGCTACAAAAAAACGGTACAAATATAGAGCCTGACCGATATCGGCCTATATACCATACCGGTATCGGTGTATATGTTATGTCATATCAGTGTGAAATTAGTCCACAATACACATTTTTATTCCAGCTGGGTAATGGCCTACATATCAGTCGAGCTCAAACACAGTAAAAGCAGTCAGTATGTAATATAATAGGGCTTTGTATTGGTAAGAATCTGCCGATACGATGCATATTACAATACAAGGGTTCTGATTCTATATATTGCCATACCGTCAACCAGGCAATATATTGATTTTTAATTTAAAATAAATCTGAACTTAAAAAGACTGTCATAGTATAAAGAACACACCAACATGAGAATAAAATGAGTTAAAAACTTCACAGTCACTGTAACATCCAACATCATAGCCCTCAGTTTACAACACTGCTATCTAGCAGTTTAACCACAAAAATCCATACAGTGTTTTTGAGAATCAATACAATATCACAAAATATTGCAATACAATATTTTTCAGTATTTTCTAACACTCCTAGTACAGAACTTATTCACAACAAATGAATATCCACAGACAACTGAACAGAAATCTATTGGTTTTGAAATAACTTGTGTTCTTCTGCAAAAGAGCTGGAGATTTCGAGACTGGTGTTGAATGATTCAAAATTCAAAAATCAGTTTCATATTGTATCAGGATTTCCCTGTGGATTCACCTCCCCACTGGTGACCACCAACTGCCCGAATGGCATCAATGTGAAGAAAAGAAAGCCTACTGGGTTGGGCGAACATATCGGCATTCGCCGGTTGGAAGATGTTAACATTGCCCAACTCTACCACCTGCTACAACCAGAATACAGTCAACAGAACATCCAAAAGATAATGTCACACTGCTTGACTGGCATTAGATCATCGGGAAGTACGGAGCAGAAACACCATGGGATGAGACTAACCCACAGTGAAGGATACTGAATTAGAAAACCAGGACCCTGCGGGTCTCAGATGTGGAGCTCAGTCTGACTGGCTGGTCGGATACAGTCAGAGCAGCCTTTAGTTGAAGTAGGGCAGCAGGGATTTTTATACTCCAGTTAACCCTCAACACTACTGGGAGATACTGAATTCTGCCCCACTTTTCTGCACGCAAGTATGTTACAGAGGTGGGACGTCTCCAGCCTGTCCCAACGATTCCACTGCAGCTCTGACGGGCCTGGTTTCAGACAGTGTCCCATCACTAGTGAATCTCAGAGTACTGTTCAAATAAGGTATCAAACAATTAAAGGAACATTGTTTGAAAATTCCAGTTTTGTTAAAAATTACCATACAGTTCGGTGTGATTGACAGGAATGTGATTATTCCATGTGCTCCTGCATATTCGGACAAAGGGCTGCAGCGATGAATCGATTAGGTGTCAACAATTACATTAATTCATTTCTAATTCCAGCTTCTTCAACGTGAATATTTTCTGGCTTCTTAAGTCCTCTATGACAGTAAACTGAATATCTTTGGGCTGTGGACAAAACAAGACATTTGAGGACTTCACTTTGACCTTGACCTTGACCTTTGGCAAACACTGATCAACATTTTTCTCCATTTTCTGACATTTTATGGACCAAACAACCAATCAATGAATCAAGAAGGTGATCGATAGATTATTCTACAATTAAAATAAGTGTTAGTTGCAGCCGTAGTATTACCAGTACATGAGTAGAAAAAAACCCTACAAGGCTTGGCATTTATCCGTTTTTCTTAAAGTTCAAAGCGAGGTCGAAACCTCTCTGAGTTCTTTGGAAAAAAGGCAGGGAAACACGGCCACCGCCCACTTTCAATGGAGAAGGCAAGATTCCTCACCAACAAAAACAGGTACATTTCCATCATGGAGGCTGAGGGCTGAGAATAAAATCTTGTAACCTAAATGTGTTTGCATATCGAAAACGGTCAGGTCTGAAGGCTGGCAGGCGTCAAACCTCTGGTTACTCACTGATCAGAGTGTTTAATCAGGTTTTGTTTTTACTCTTCTGTTCAGGCAGTTTTTGTACAGCTGCTCATGTAAAGCGCTTGAGAACTTCAGTTGAATAAAAAAATTGATTTGTAGGAAAATATATTTATAGGCACCAGTGTTAAAAGATCTGAAACAATACCCAGCATTAAAGAGGGTTATTCAGATTCATGATATTGCTGCATTCTCATTCATTTCAATGAGACACAGAAAAGTCAACCTTGGCTCAACTGTTGCCAAAGCGCAGTCTGACATCGTCTGGCAGTGAAATATATATTGGTCGATCAATCTTCAAACGGGACTTCTGGGTTCGGTCCAACGCGTCCACTGCTGCACTGGTGCCATCAAAGCCTGTGCTGACCTCTCTGATCGCACTGCTGCACTCCACACACACAACATACATCTACCTTTAGGGTTCATTAAACCAAAAATCTATAATTTATAAGATTATGGGAGCCAATTTTCATACAAGCCACCACTGACATCTTGAATCTGTTTCAATGAAGATAAACATAAGGGATTGATGTTTTATTCAGGGTGGATACAGATATTGATTATTATTAATCGAGGAAACTAATAACCGATATTTGGAACATTTGCAGTCAAAATTAAGTGTAATTAAGTACATTAACTCAACTTGTACTTGAGCGTGTCCATTTTGTGCTACTTTACACTCCTACTGCACAACATTTTGGGGGCAAAAATTTGAACTTTTAACTCAAAGGAACCTACAATGATTGGTCGAATTTGCAGAAAGGTTGCGGTGACTGGACAAAATTGCAAGGTTGCCCAGAATTCACAGCAATTGGTTGAATTACTGTTAATTGAGGGACAGTAAAGTGGCGGCTACAGACTGAGAGAGGGGGCTGCATCAGAGCCAAAGCAGTTGCATTTTTAAATTCTTTCATTAAATTGGCCGCCAGATACAAATATAACAGTACTGATGCTGAATATCGGCTCCAGCAATCAGCCAGGCTGATAATCAATCAATAAACATGTTCAATGGTAAAAGCATCCATTTCAAGACCTTTATCGTAACATAGCAATTCCTAAAGTGAGCTACTGTTCAGTGTGGCAGGCCAATCACAATATTTCCCTGTAGGAATTCCTCATTTTGAGACAGACAGGTCTACCAGCAGGGAGACATGACACTTCAGACAGGCTTACCTTCAAGAAGTCAGACCGTGAAGCAGTCTAGCAGGAGGACAAGTAAGACAGACGGACACACGAGACAGACAGACAGACAGACAGATGGCAGGCCTGCATGTCTGATGATGCTGAATTTGAAATGACTTCTAAATGAGGCTCGGGGCGAAACCCTGACCTGGCTGCTTCTGAGAGGAACAGACAATTACACATCCACAGGCTCAAACCAATGCAATACATGATTCTGAATAAAGTACACATTTCGGTAGGAGTCAGCGGTGTGGCAGCTGCGGGGGAACACGCCCATGGCGGTGTAATGCTATATGAATGCCACGCCTTGCTCGTGTCAGCTCAGCACGCCTGGCCTCCGAGCTGCAGCGCGGAACGCAAAGGACCCCGGCTGGAGAGGCGCTGTCAGCCGGCTGCTGCTCCCCGGCCAACCTGCGCATCCAGGCCGGGAGAGTGTGCTCTGCAGGCCCTGCGGCGTTTAATACAGCACCGGAGGACAGCGCACACACACACACACACACACACATGCACAACGAATAACGGCGCTTACGGGCTGAAATAACCCTGCGTTTGCACATGCACTCAGCACTGTAATGCATTTTAACCAGAATCAAAGCCCCCCTCTTCTGTGCTCGTTTTCTCTGTCACCCCCTCCTCCTCCCTCCTCCTCCTCCTCCCCTTCTCCTTTCTCTGCGGACACATGCAGCCACTAACGGGATTAATTGGTTTTTATTCCGGCGGATGTTAATGAAAGGCTCCGCTCTCCGTCCGACAAACAATAAAAGGGTCCAATGTGGGGGGGGTCTGACCTGTCGAACCGCGGATGTAAAGCAGCGAGGGGAGAGGGAGCAGGGTGAGTGTGCTGGGGGAGAGATGCGTTAGGGTGAAGGGGAATTGGGCTACTTACTGTGCGGATCCAGGCAGATTTCTGGGAGGAAAAAAAAAACCCGCAGCCAGCAGCAGGGAGACGGAGAGGCGTCCGGTGGGAAACCCCGTGGTGTAACGGTCGAGGCTTCGGCGGGATTTCTGCCGGTTTAGTCCCCGGGTTTTCACCGACTCCCCTTTCCCAGATATCCCAGATTTCCCAGATTTCCCCTGCTGCCACACTGAATCCCAACACCGCTAACACTGGCGTCAAGCTACAGGCAGGCTAACTGCGAGACTTCCGGCCGTGATTTTCACAATAAAACACCCAGCGACGTCTTTGCTTTTAAATGACTTCTCTAAACATATCTTTTCAAAAAAGCCTTTTATTTATTCTAGCGCACCGTTTTATTTCTATCGTGTCTCATATATTGTATTGTTATTATTATTGTTTATTTTATTTTTGTGTCTTTTTATTCTTTTGTTTATTTAGTATTATTTTAATTCGATGGTTTTATTTGCCTCAGTGTAGATTTTTGCCAACATGTTTCATCTTTATTATTGTTAATATTTATCTTTATTTATTATTATTAATATTATTATTATTATTATTATTATTATTATCTGATCTGATTTGCCTGATTGCCAATCCTGGTTCACCCATGTATTATTGGAATTATTATAATAAATAATATTATGGTTATTATTATTACTGTTGTATGAAACCAGCAACCGTTATTTGACAAAAAAAAAATGAATGAAAGAAACTAACTTTTATTTTAATCATTTTCAAGGCCTGAAAAATGATTGTTTTTATTATCCCCTAGTGCTATTGTTTTTTATTATTAACCTCATCTTTAAGCATTTTATTAAACAAATGTAAATATGTTTTGTAACTGCTTCCGTATCCTTTTCATCATTACTCAATCCCTCAGATTTATCCAGTGATCTCTTGAAAACTGCTCGCCTATATTTCCAAACAAAACAATCAATACATTATTATTATTATTATTATTATTATTATTATTATTATTATTATATATATATATTTTTTTATTTTTATTTTTTATTTTTTTATTTAAACAAACCCTTGTTGGGGGACAAATATTTAGAAAATTGTACAAAGTAAAGCAAGTAGTCAAACTGAAATGTCGGTTTCAACGCGTTGGGTCTGTTTTATTGTGAAGCTCAAACTATCTCACTTCCGGTGTTCTTGACGTTTGACTTGATGTATCCAACACCGGATCCCAAAAAACTCAGCGGGAGCGCGGATCCATGCCCTGCGCGTTCCCGGTGCCTTGTTTCCTGTCCTGCCCAACCCAGAATCAGCTCAACCAATCAGTCCCGGTGAGCTCACCGCTTTCCACTCTGTCCCTCTCATACAGCCTCTATCATTTACATTCGAGCATTTATTCTGTTCTTATATTAAAGTTAAAATGAGCGCTTCTCTCTCTCTCTCTCTCTCTCTCTCTCTCTCTCTCTCTCTCTCTCTCTCTCTCTCAGCACCTTGTTCAAGCAGCTGCTGCTTTTCATGCCAAAGTGTGACCTCTAGTGGTGTGAGGCCGCCTGTGTCAGTGGCAGTGCAGTAGTGAAACAGCACACTGTGACATGTGCGGTATTTACCACAATATGTTTCACGTAATAAGTTTAACAGCAGGGCAAAAGATTTTCACTGTGAAGTCCATTCTCAGTGTCTGTGGCCTGGAGGTTTCACACTAAACAATTTTGTTTGAGTTGCATACACAATGTCCCATAATCCTGCTCATACGTACACATCTCAAACTTAGATTTAAGCACAGACAAACCTTAGCTTTCTAGTGTCCTTTGACACTAGCTGCACAGTGAAGTGACGGTGGTACAGCCCAGAGTCATACAGAGTGCCACCTGTGGAACCGTTCTGAAACGAATTGTCTTATGTGTGTATGTAATGTCTAAATTCAGCTGCCTATTACTGTAATTCTGATATAATCAAAGACTTTTAAACAGGATTTTACCCGTGTATTGAAAAAATGAAAGGATTGTAATACATTAAAGCCATTTTAATGGATAACCTGTACAGTTAAAAAGAATTCAAAGAGAAAAGTGTACACATGTCACATATGTGTACGTGTGTTGAGGGTATCCTACAGCAGAACAATCAGGCAGGCAGCAGAGAGGAAGGAAGAGGAGGTGATACAAGCTGCAGCTGGAAACCACACAGTGACACCCTGCTTGTGTGTGCGCATGCACCTTGGCAGTTTGTTTCACTGAGTAGGTGGGAACAGTCATCGCTGCCTGAACCTCATGGGTTGTTCATTGTAAATTTAATCAAAAATAACTCAAAATTAAAAGTCAACCGCAGATTTTTGAGGTTTTAGTACAAAGAGAAGAAAAATGTCACTTTTCCATCATTTTGAAACCAAACAGCGACAGAGTGTGACGAGTGCACACAGACAGACAAGCTGAGACGTAAATGTGGAGGTGCAGTCAGTTGAAGCGGGACGTCCCCTGTTGGCTCAAAATACAGAGCTGATGGAAAAAGGAATGAAAAATTTCCACCCAGTTGTTCTCTGTTGAACTGTACATCATAAAAAGAAATGATCTGCGTGACATTTCTCAGTGCCATGACAACCTAACAGCTCAGACTGCTATCTCGGTTGCAGGCCACTTCTTTATGGCCCAAATACTAGCATAAAAGGGATGAAAATGCACAAAGAGTGACTTCATACTAAATATTATAGTAAAAAAGTAAAATACTTCCTCAATGACCTCAAATCGTTTAAAGGTTTATGTCTGTTGCGCTTCTGAACGCACATTATCCATGGATGTGTTAAAACCAAGTGTGAACCTATCGTGATGTCACCCATTGGTCTGTGAAGTACCGTTTTAAAGCCTAGAGGTTGGCAATATGCCCCTCACCATGGCGTTTTTTTTTTTTTTTTTAGCTGCTCTCATTGGCTGCTCAGTTTTTACCCGTCTGGAAACAATGGCAGATCGCCTGGTCACACATGATCTTGTATTACATTAAATATGTTTCTGAAATGATTTTAGGTGGGATATAGTCAACGTAGAATCCTGATTCATATCTGATCAGCACTGCCTAGTTTGACAGTTTGATCTGAGTTTGGTGCGTTGAACTGGACGGTCTCACTGAGAATGACCTGTCAATCACAAGGTAGCCACGCCCTAAAGCATACCCTGCTTTATGGTCTATTTTACTCTAAATGGAACCATCATATACTAAATCTAAGAGAATCTAAGAAATCTAAAACTAGAGATTGAGACCATAAACTCATCAGGAAACTGTTAACTCAGCTCATAAATCAAGTGAGAAGTTGGGTCATTTCTCTTCCAGGTCCATGGAGCTGCCCCCTGCTGGCCATTAGAGAGAATGCAGGTTTAAGGCACTTTAGAATTGGCTTCACTTTACACACCTGGAAAAGTCTTTTTGGGGTCCCTGGCTCTTCCTGGGGGCCTGCCATTATCACATTTGAGTCTGGTCTGTTGGTCTGTACTGTGCTGTTCGGAGCAGGCTGTTTGCTTGGCCTCCAGTATTGCTGCTTTATCAATATCATCAACCTGCAAAGCTGGAAAGCCCCCGCAGTTTCAGATGCTCGCCCCCACCCAATCAGTATTCTTCGAAGACCCGCCAGTACTCTGCCTGTAACTGCATTACTAATGTTGTCAGCACTGTGGGCTAACTCTTGCATGAGTAACCCTGCAGCTTAAAATCTTGTTTCTACTAACCTCTTGTGGTGGAAAACTAACACCTTGCTGTAGTGTTGGAGATTTACCGAGGGTGTGCAACACACACACACTGTAAAACCAGATGAGTTGATTTAACTAAAAAAATATTTTGTTTTAAGTTAAAAAACATTCCTGATCAAGTAGTGCTAGTCATTTTATGTGACACTGACTTAATTTTGTAATTTGTATTTGTATTGTAAAAACAAAATACCTAGTAAAAAGTATTTAATCAGAAATGTTTCTGTAACCTACAAAACTAAGTTAGTGTCACTTAAAATTACTAGTAGAGGCTGTTTCATCAAGAATCCTTTTCAACTTGCAAAATTGTGTTTGTGTTATTTAAAATGTTCACTTACGGCATTATAGTGCATGAAGCATCCAACCAGAAGAGGTCAGTGTAACTTTGTTTCGTATTAAGTTATGTAGCTGGTGAGCTTTTATATTTTTGTCATCATCACTTTAAACTGTCATATCAGAAAGTGAGATCACCTCCGCAGCCCAAGCAGCTACACTACACAAGGACAAACTGGAGGATTGTGGCAGTCTTTACAGACACAGCAACACTTTCGCAACTGGGGCTCCCGGAAAGATTAATGTATGAAGAACCTAGTATTATTGGTAACTTAACTGGAAGTTACAAAATCCTAGATGTTAGTTAGCTAATTTAGCAACAGTCTATGGTAGGTGTAATGTTTTTTTGTTTTTTTTTAAATGCAAAAACAAAGGGAATTAAAAAATCTTCAAATGACAGAAAATCCCGGAAGATTATTTTGTTTTTCTAAAATCAGTGTAAATGATTCTGTCTCACTTTAAGGGTACTTTGGTCTAAATATCCTATATTAATGTTCTAGCATAAGCAGTAGCTACATTACCTAACGACAGCTCGGGTTAAGGTTATTGTCATATTCGGTTAATAGTCAGACTTAAGTTGATCTTGCTAGAAGAGGTCAATGAAAATACTGTATGTGTAACGTTCTAGAGCAGAGTATGGCTGACACATGACTCTCTTCTCGTCTTGTTTAGTCTTTCAGTAGACCATATGATTTATCGTCAGACGACTGTATGACTGCTTAGGATGTTGACGAAAAGGGCATACTTCATGGTATTTAAAGCGTTCAAGGATTTAAATGTAGTCCTGCTGTCATCCACAAGAGATAATTACTCTATGTATTATGTGAAATGAATTGATTCAAAACAAGTCAAATTAAAAGCTGGAAATATTTTATATGTGTTGAGCACCAAGCACGAAGGAGGTGTGCATTTCTGTTTTTAAAGAGCAGCAAGAGGAGATCAAAGTTAGTTGCTAGTTTAAGTGAAGTGTTGCATTTGAATAATACTTTATTTACTCAAGCCTTGTTATTCAGCTTAAATGTTTTCATTAATGCCATGTTTTACCCATGCTTAGATAACGTAATGTGTATTAAGGCCATTATATTGCCTTATATCAATTTACATGACCTGTGATTTTGATAACTGATTACATTATGAACAGTTGATTCGAAAGCTGTGGCAGTTGAAAGTTTGAGCCTGGCAATTCTACTCCGCTTTTAGTTTGTGTCAAACTGTAGAGCTAATGTTAATTCTAGCTCAAGCAGGTAAAGTGGAGAGCTTTTGGGATGGACTGATGGACTTGGTGTCCTGGACAAAATCCAAGCTCACCTGGAGAGTTTTCACTTCCCTCTATGCTGGTCTCTTACAACCCTGGCCACTGACCTGGTTGACAGCCTCTTCATCATCTCCAGTTGGTAGCAATAGAAGGGGTGCTGAGGAGGTTGTTGTTCTTTGTGGGGAGACTTAACAGATGCAGAAGGTTAATGTAGAAACGTTTAAGCTTTTCTTTCAATGAACTGAAATATCTTCTCACTTGAAATGAATAATGTACAGCATCTTTTTTTTAAATTAAATTTCTGATGTATTGCTTTTTCTCTAGGTAAAGAGGAAATACAGAAAATGTGGACAATTCTCATCTTTGCCACTGGAGCCAATACTGTTCCACCAACTGGTAACTAATGTAATGGGTGGGTGAGTGTGCACATGGATGTGGGTTACATTTGTAGGTATGCGTGGTTATTTATTTATTATACCTGCAATCCAATGTTTATACATTTACTTTCATTCAAAGAGAGTCTTCAAGTACTTCTTCCACCACATCCAGTACATTTTAGAAAACTGACTACCAGTATTCAGATCCTGTACTTAAGTAGAAGTACGCTCCCAATACCACACTGCTAAAATAATCTGTAACACTTTATCATAAGGGTACAAATCATATATATAAATAATGCTTGACTAATGTATGACTCATGATGATTTATTGCATGAATTAATATAGGATGTATCATGATTTCCTGTCCCTCACCGTTAGAAAAATGGTCAAGTTACTATGACTTTTTGTGATTAGTTCACACTGAATAGATAATAAGATAAGGCATGTTGATGAATGCTTTAATTGATATGTGACCAAAGACCAAAGTAGCAGTCCATGCTCAGCCTGTCAGATGAAAGAAAAATAGCTTCATATTTCTAAGAGAATAAATACCCAATGGTATTTTTGTCACCTTTCCAACATAATGGACAAATTAGAGGAGAATGATCAGACAGACACAATTAAAAATAATAATGAAGCAATCATTATTTTGTAAAGATGTCAAAACAATTCCATTTGATCCATTCTCATATTTCATCGCGAAGGCATTATCTCCGTGATCGCATAGTACTTGTATGGGAGTTTGCACATCCAGCTGAAGAACAACTAGCCACAACTGCAGTATCTCATGGTCATGGAAAGGTAGACGATGAAAGTGTTGCAGGAAGTGTGCAAATCGGAGAGTAGTGTGTGAAGACCTGGGCTAGAAAAAAGGCAATACAATGCCAAATTAAAGAAAAAGAGAAAACCTGGAAAAAAAAAAGGACAAAATAAAAACAAAAAAAAAAAAAAAAAAAAAGTTTCATTAGTCGTTCAACACGCCCTCCTTCACTTGCCCTCGTTCACTTGCCCTCGGGGAATCCCCGCCGCCTTCATAAGTGTTGTTCCAATTGTCTGGAAAACTGAAGTGAACTTGGTGAGATGGACCCTCGGAGGGCTGAGGGAGCGAGTGAACAACGATGGTCACTCCGAGGTGGATATCACCCACAATGCATTGCAGTTTACGTCATTGCCGCTATAACGCCGAGTAAGGGCAAGTGTGTTTCATTTTAAATCCCCCGCCCACTTTCTCTCCGCGCTCCAAGTGGCCTCCGTGCGACGTATGCTGTTACGTCATACCAAGGGCTGAGGGTAAGTGAATGAGGGGAAGTGGAACTACTAATGAAACGCAGCCTTAGGCCAACAGCAGTAGTTCCACTTCCCCTTGTTCAATTCTGGTCGTTCTTTTTCCTATCGACAGTACTCAGTGACCAATAGTGATCAAGACTAGGGTAAAAATCTTCCATTCCCCAATGCTGGGGAATAGTATTTAAAAAACGTCTAATGTCATTTCCATTGCTACTTACTCCCAATATGGAAAACTGCAATAAGTAAGAAAACAGAAGGACACAATGATGCTATTCAAGTCATCCTGCTTTTTAAAAATAAATGTGTGTGAAAGTGTAAATTTAAGTAAGTCATAGTGAAAATATATGTGAGTAGAAGTGTATGTATGTGAAAACAGAACGTATGTGTGTGAGAGTGCCAGAATGAATTATGTCTTGTACGGCCGCTCATATCAATGCAAATAAAAATACATTTACAGTTGGTCAAATCAAATAACATCTGATGTCTTTTGTGATTATTGACACATTTGTCCACTTTGAAAACCATTGTTGGTGTTTGCATGGTTGTTATCCATCCACTGGCAATCCCATGATGCCTTAGATTGATTCTGTTGACCACTCAGAGGCTGTGGTGTTTCTGACTTGTGGTCCAGTATGCAACTTGTACAGTGTGATGTAGAAACTTGAATCCACCAGTGCACATCCATTTTAATGGGGAAATTATATCTTTTTTATGCAGAAAAAACACATCAGACACGCATTATTGCTCCAAGAAGACTATTTGTATATGTCTGGAGGGGGTCTTTAAGTAATCCTTGACAATGTAAGTATAATCTAAGTATGCATTTTTTAATATGGGTTGATTTACTTATTTTTTGTAATCTGATTACGTAATCCAGATTACATGTAATCAGTTACTTACCAACATTGGCTGTCTGTCACATTGTCTTTTTCTCTTCAGTCAGTAAGACAAAGCCCTAAGAAGATTTATTTGATGTATCTTGAAAGAATAAAAAACACCACCCTCATTGTTTGAGACAGTCTCAATGTCCCTCCTCCCACCAGCCCCCCGACCCCATACCAAGTGTTTTGTTTTTTTCAAACTGCAGCAGTTAAATACAAGTTAATGCTGTCTGCAAAATGACTCTTTTTAAAAGCAACAAAGGAACAGAAACTGTGAAGAGAATTTGTTGTCAATTTTGCTGTAAAAAGTGAGAGGCATGATCCTTTCACCTACGTTGGTTGGCATTGCGGTTAGTAATCCCCCTCACCCACTCTGCATGTCTGTGTGTCAGTGTGTTCAAGGGTTAGGGTGCATGTACAAACCTGTCTATAAGCATATTGGCATGCATGTCTGTTTTTTTTTGTATGTGTAAATGTGTAAGTGTTTATATGTGTGTGTATGAGTTTGTTTGTGTTTGTGTGTGTTTGTCTGTGTTTGTGTGTGTTTGTGTGTGTTTGTGTGGGTACATAGTTTCTGGTATGGTTTCATAGGTTTACACAGGAAGTGTCTCTGTCAGAGTGACACATTTCTCTCACTCCTCTGTAATATCGAACAGAGATGCTATCTTTGTGTCCACCAGCCTGTCTGCAGAGTAGACAGTGACAATCCAATTGCAACTCGCAGGAGAAGAAAACCTTCCTTGGTATCGACTCCTATCAAACACTGGTGTTTGATAGCAACCAGTTAGGAGGACACGATGAGAGCAGAGGTCCTGTTGATGGTGATGTGCTTTATTAATGGAAATGAGACGGGATGCTTGGGTAAGACAACACTACATTGTTGAATTTGCTTCAGAATTAAAACTGTTAAAATTGAAACTACTGTGAAGAAGAATTCTTAACTTTACAACTTTCACAATGACTACAAGGGCTTTCAATTCTCAAATGTTATCTGGAATCAGATCATACGGTCAAGAACAAAGAGTTCTAAGCTATTTGATTGTTTTCCTGTGAGTGTTTTTCTTTACCTCGCAGTACATTGAGATTGAGATCTGCAGTAAACTGTCAGTGACAATCAGAAAATAGTAGAATAAACTGGCAGAACAAAATTAAGGTGATAAGGTATAGTAACAATAGTAACATATTTTGGGGCGTATACAAATGTCCTGCGATTGTGGTCTAAAAGCAAATTAATGCTATCAAGGAGACCCGAATGTGCCTTCAGTCTCTCTTCCGTACGGAACCCATGGAGTGCTCAAAATGCTATTGCATGCACACAAGATACAGTTTGTTCCCACATTTTGATGCAGGAAGTAAGTGTGTATACCGTAGCCAGCACAACAGACCAACAGACCTTTCCTGAAGCATGAAGGGCAGTGCGTAATACTGCCACAAGTATCATGGAAGGCATGTTTTGCACACCCACATATTCTTTAATGTGGATGCAGTGAGGTACAGTGAGGTACAGTGTGCACCAACTGTACCCTGACAATTTAGGACTAAACTATAAATTAAACCTTAATATTGCATCAATTTCCTTTTCCTTTACCATAATAATACCATTGAATGTATTGGTAGTGTATCAACATACAACCACGGCATGTCTTAGTCCAAGGTTACTGGCCGTGCTTAAAGACGCATGCAGCTCATTCAACAACACTGTTAGCTAGCCCCTAAATAAAAAAGAGCTAGGTATGTGCCAGGTGTTTATGAATGTTATCATAGTCACAAATTAAACAAACTGTATCTCATAGTCACAAATCAATCAGAAAGGTTGGAACAGGGGCCCCTGGTAGAGCGCCCCATGTACCAAGGCTGATTCTTTGCTCCAGTGGCCCAGGGTTCGAATCTGACCTGTGGCCATTTGCTGTGTGTTATGTTGATGAAAAAGAGAAAAAAAAGTGATTCCCCCAACACCCTGTTCTCACTAGGCTACTACCTTAATGTAAAGAGTCATTTCTTATTACTTCCTAGGATAAGCAAGCATACTACATCACAGAAAGTGCTGGGAATATTTAAGTTCTCATCTTGTTTTATTTCAGACCTTAATAAACACATGGCTCAAACTTACAAAACCTTGATGAGTCAAACAAGTTCTGTAGCTTTACAAAAGGAATATGCTACAACTTCTGTAAAAATGAATAAATAAAATATAAAAAATAAAATGTGTGCTTCCTGTTTTACAGAGGTAGCTATACCTAACAGACATCTTCTGTTAAAATAAGTGCTTCCAATGCCCAAAGTGCAATCTCTTACTGTAACGTAAATGTACATACTACTAATATACTTACAACTGTAAGGTTTTTGAAACTAGTATGATTCAACCCACTGGTAACAAAAAAGTGCAATCTTACAACTGTAAAGTTGCATCAACTCCTGAATGAAACTACAACAGTCCACTGTGAAAATGAAAACTATAACTATATAATTACATCACTTCATAACATTCCCATGGCAACAGGGGAAAATGGTTGCTCTTGTGTGAAGTAAACACAAAATTTTTCAACTTTCTGCTAAGATATATGTGACTTTTTTGCAACGAAAATTGCGGGGATTATGAAATCATGCAGCCCCTGCATAAATATGCGGACTTTGGCTGATTTTGCATTGAATTATGCGATCGCATAATCGCGTTTTTCTGGAGGGACTGAAAAGGGCTGTAAGTGATATTTCAAGCAAGCACAGTTTCTGCTACACAGCCAAATAAAGTGGTGTAGATAATCTTTCTAAACAGTTGGCTGTTCTGGTCAGATTATCTGAAGGCTCGTGGTTCTTGACCGTGTCGACCAATTTTGCCATGTCATTTGCTTATTGCTATTTCCCTGCACTTTAGTTTGTTTAGGCACAAACACAAAACGGTTTTGCTTCCTTCTGGAGCATGGTTTCGATGTTGCCGTCATTGAATGAGAATTATTTTATGATTCATTTGGGTTAAGGTTAAGTAAATTAAATTGTTTGGTTTCAAGTTTTCTGACATACCATTATGGGCAAAAACAACAAGTACTTCCATGCCAAAATCTAGGACTGGAGTACGCCATATAATTTAAACACCAAATGTAAGAAATAGTTGCACATTGTGTTAATTAAAGCTGCCAGTGGCAGATACTAATAGAAATAATAAAATTTAGGTGAGAAACCCATTAGTCACAGCTATGATTGTTTTCTTTGTGCTTGTTTTAGTATGTCAATAACCCATCTATATGCTTCTTGTCTGTCTGTCTGTCAGTTCTGACAACTATTACAGTGTCAAAGCTTAGGAAAGTGAGCATCTCCTGTCCATCTGTGGTGACCAACAGCTCAGAGCGCAAGTACCTGCTCTTATTCAATGATACCTGTATCAACCAAATAACTACGAATAAGGTCAGTGTGTGTGTGTGTGTGTGTGTGTGTGTGTGTGTGTGTGTGTGTGTGTGCTAATATGCTTCTGTATTTATTGCAATCTATAATAATAAACTTTATTTAGTACCTTTCAAAGTTACAAAGTTATTTACAATAAAAACAGTACACAGTTTAAACAAGAGAATGAAACAAACTTATATAAAACACATAGATGGTAAAATGAATTAAAGTGTCATAAAACATAAATTAAACCAACAAAAAGTAATTTTTTAAATTATATATTACATCTGCAGCCTGTGTTTCAGCGTTACGAGATAATTATTTTATTTCAAGGAAGAAATGTCGCCACATCAAAAACAGATTTATTTTGTATCATTGAAGTTTCAGTGCATGTGAAGATGCTACATTGTGGCTGTCCCAGCCACTGTGCACAATTTCTAAACATTGTCTAATTCATTTCTTTCTCAGGACTTTCTGAGTTTGACTGACAAGTTACAAGAAGTGTTGAGTGTTAGAAAGCCACAATATCTCACCTCTGCTCCAGTACTGCACTGCACTGAATTTTCATGCAACTGGGGGTTTCTTTAAAAAGCGACCTCACACACAGTTATGTACACATGCTGTACAGACTATAAAGCCCCTTAAGGTGAATGTGTGATTTGTGATGTTGGAGTATACAAAGACAATTTGACTTGACTTGACACACAGCCAATAGCAGTTGTTCCCAACCCTTTTCCTTTAGGGACCCCTTTTCTATAATTTAGTAAACTGATGATCCCTGCTTTGGTGACATATTTTATTAATATTTCATTCTACATTCAAAATTGGGCCTAATTCTGCCCTGCATGCATTAGTTGGTGTTTTTCTTTAAATGCTGAATATGGACCTACAGAATTCTGCATGCTAGGCCTCTATAGGATGCCTGTCCCATCTAGTGTCGTACTGATTACTGAGTGGACCCCAAACTTCAATAAAAGGAGATTGGTTGAATAACACTGTCAAACATTTTAGTCAAAATTGTAATTGGTATTTGTCTTTTGTAAAATGTTCTTATAATTGCATCAGATTTTTTCCATGCTTTTGTTTGCTTCTCTGCCTTTCTCAATTCCAATAACTATGCTTCTGATGACATGAGTGTTAGAAAGAATTATTAAGACAAGAAAGAATAGAAAAAATGTATTTATAAAGAGTACAATTCTAAAAAATACCAATGAATTAAGAAAACAGTCCATTAAGAATACATTTCATAAAAAGTACTTCAGTGACTTTTCAGTGACCACAGCACAGCAGGTGAGATTCCAGTTTTTCTTCTGTTGGTAGGAGCTGAACTATCCAGAGAATTTCTCCGGTCACTTTGAAGTCACAGCCAACAACAGTGGTGTGTACGTGTGCAAGGTCGAGCTGGTTTATCCTCCACCACACAAAGAGGAATGTCACACCACTGTACTCAAAGTGGCAGGTAATATGCATGGCCAAAAACTCAAATATTATTGTTATATTGATATATACTGTGTGTAATATATTAAAATATTATCTATAAATTCTGTTTGGGTCAATTCATAGACAAGCCAGAAATGAATGAAACTGTTGCAGCAGCCAATCAGAGCTGTCCAGTCAGGACCCCATTCATCCCTGATGTGGTGATGTGGGCGGGATGTGTGGTTCTATTGGTCTACAGCCTGTTGTTCACCTGCATTACCATTGTTTTATGGGTAAGAATGAAATAATGGATTCACTCACTCTCCTGTACTGCACACATTACCTGTCATTGTAAGTAAAACACGTCTCTCTGACTGACTGGCATTGTGTTCCTCAGAGGAAGCTGAAGAGGGATGACGACGATACAAACGTGTATATCAACACCAGACCCGGAGATGTCAGGAAACCCTACAAAGTTTAAAACCTTGTGGTAATTGAAAAGAAACATCACAGCTATTAATATCGGTCATGTACAATGAATGTAGACTATATATGGAAAACAGAGTGTGGTAGTTGGAGAAAGGTTAGTCAGAGAGCTGTAATTATGGCAATATTCTATTTAAATTGCAATTTTAATTTCATTCTTTTCTAAACTGAAAAATTAAAGAAAATAACAGAGTTCCTATTTGCACCCTGGTGATAAAAGCTGCACGGCAGCTAATCGACTATTTATACCTGTACCCTGGGTTAGCTATAAATAACAACACAGTCTCTGTAGGAAGGAAGTAGAGGTGGGTAAATGGGTTAATGTTGACTTCACATTTTAGACTTAGCCGACATATTATTTTACTTTATTTTCAGTTTTTAGTTGTAGCTTGATTTAGGTTTTGGCAGTAAAACTAATAAGTTCTTAGTTAAAGATCATCTTTTGTCTCTGCCATGCAGGATGCAGGATTTTGTCTGTGAAATAAGGAACTTTCGGAGTGGAAATGGAGTGGAGGTCTGGAAAAGGAACATGAACATCAATATCCATCCATCTATTTTCTTACCTGCCTATTCTGTTTCGTGTCAGCTGTCACAGCTCAGTTGCCCTGAAAACAGTCTATCAAAGGGCTGATTCACATAGACAGCAGTATTTCCAGGGTTGCAAACTGAAACAGCTGAGACAGTTACAGAAAACAGAACCTCATTGTTAACTAGATATTTTTTGATGTGGCTCTTGGGAGCAATTTTTCACAAGCAGACCTCTTATTGTTTGACTTTTAGTGAGTTTTTCTAGAGCCACTTGCTCTGTATGTTATGGAGCCCCTAAAGGGACATGGGAAAAAAAAAAAAAGAAACGTTTCTAGTGCGCACTAGATACTATCTTGTGAGCACTAGATACTATCTTGTACTATCTAGTACTATCTAGTGCGCACTAGACACTATCACTAGATACTATCTTGTGCGCACTAGATACTATCTAGTGCGCACTAGATAGTGCTAGTGCTCATTAGATACTATCTACTATCTAGTGAGCACTAGATAGTATCTAGTGATAGTATCTAGTGAGCACTAGATACTATCTTGTGCGCACTAGATACTATCTAGTACTATCTAGTGCGCACTAGATACTATCACTAGATACTATCTAGTGCACACTAGATAGTGCTAGTGCTTATTAGATACTATCTACTATCTTGTGCGCACTAGATACTATCTTGTGCCCACTAGATACTATCAGTGTTGTGGCGAATCAACACATGGCTAATTTTAATATTCAAATGAGTATTAAACTAATTTGTCTGTAACTAAAAAATAAATGTAAATTAATCTGTAACCGCTTTTGTTACAGTCCACATTTAAATGCCCTGTCCTGCAGCCGGACACTCATTTGTCCTCCTTTTGAGAAAATAACAAAAACAGTCCGCCTTTCGACACATTACCTTATTAGTTTAATACTTATTGGCTTAAAATGTGTGTCAAAATAAGTAATTTCATTGGTCAAATTTTCCTGTTGTGACCTATCAACACATGGCTCACTTTAATATTCAAATGAGCCATGTGTTGATTCGCCACAACACTCCATCCATATCTAGTGTGCACTAGATACTATCTAGTGCGCACTAGAAACATTTCTTTTTTTTTTTTTTTCCATGTCCCTTTAGGGGCTCCGTAGTATGTAAATGTTGTAAATGTTAATATTATATGCTGTTTTATTTAGGTATTTTATGAACACACTGTAAAACCCTATAAGTTAGTTGAACTCAAACTGTTCAACTAAACAATTTAAGTTTATAAAATATTTGTAAGTAACTCAAGTGTTTATTGTTAAGGTAACTTAGGTAACTTAATTGTACCAATTTTTTTCAGTTAACTGAACTTAAAACAAGTAGGTATATTACACTGATATGCAGCATTTCTCCAAACTTATTTAAAACGTGTATTTGAATAAAGTAAGTTAATGAATCTTCTTTATATAAATGTTACCACATAAGTTGAATTTACTCAGTTTTCTTTCACTAAAGCAAACTACTGACGTACAATGAAAACAATTTACAATTAATCAATTATCAAAATGGTAGCAAATTAATCTTGGGGCTTACATTTTTGTAATGATATATTGTCAACTTAAAGAAATTAGTCAATGGAACAAACTGGAATACTGCTCAAATTTAAGTGCACTCAAAGCAACTTAGTTGGTTTAACAATCCATTTTTGAGTTGGGTTTAATTCACAGGAATGAGTGACTCAAAATGTTTAAGAGGATTAACTTATGTTAGCTTACTACTAAATATATATTGTTAGGCTTTACAGTGCAGGATTGGGAGGGTTGGGGCGGCTGTGGCTCAGAGGTAGAGAGGGTCGTCCTCTAATCAGAAGGTTGTTGATTAAATTCCTGGCTCCTCCCAGCTGCATGTCAAAGAATCCTTGAGTGGTTGGAAGACTAGAAAGGAGTTATACAAATACAGGTCCATTTACCATTACCAATTACCATTTGGGAACCAAGTTGGGAACCACTGTGTAAGAAAATGTAGTCAGTAACCTAATCCAAGTATCAAAATATGAAAGTAATTTAACCTTTCCATTACTCTTGGCAATAAAAACAAGAGAAAAGAAACATCAATAAAAAGTACTGATCTAAGTTTATTATACAAGACAACAGAACAGAACCTTAGAAAGTAAAATGGAAACCAAGAGCATAGCAGAGCTGCTCAGTGTATTTTTATTTTTAAGAAAAACTGATGTATTTTAAAATTGTAAAATGAATTACAGTTACCTTTTTTTCTGTTCTGATTATGTAACTCAGTTATATGTAATCCATTACTTCCCAATTATGTATAGAGCTCCTGGGATATAACTGTATATTGTATGTACTGCACATTGTATTATACATATTTTAGAGAACTATACTATAAAAAACATTTAAAATTGAATAATAAAGATATAAACATGTTTATGTGAAAATATTGTGTTGTTTAGTAAAATCCAGGTTGGCAGAAACAGATTAAAACAGTAAAGAATTTTTAATCTTATTGTATATTGTAAATGTTCATTTTGAGCAAAAAAAATAACTTCATTATCTGAGCAGCGAGACATGAGTCATTTTCCTTCATGTTTAGTCAAATTACATCTCGAATGGTTCCAAAATGATTGTCAGAAATTTAGCTGATGATGAAAAATGCAAATCTGGGGCGGTAAGGTATCACTATCCAAAATAACTGTTCTCACGCCTCTGCAGGAAATGAACAGATGTCGAGCGTGATGCTTAGCAAATAAAATAGTAGCTGACTGAATATTGTTGATCTCTCTTGTCAGCGGCTACTGTAGCTGCTGAGAGTGGCGGTCACAAACACTACAACTGGTTTAGCAGACAGCAAACAACTGAGTATGGCTTGTGTGTAGGACAAACTACGATGGCCATTAAAAACTCAATCCTCCTATCTGGAAACGTCCTGTCTAGAGCCAGTGTTTGGTTTGTCCATTCTGGGCTACTGTAGAACCATGGCAGTTCAACATGGCGGACTCCACATGGCTCCCTCTGTAGATAAAACAGCTCATTCTAAGGTAACGAAAACACGATTCCTATATTCAGGTGATTATATATTTGTGTAGTGTATGATTATACACTAATGAAAACCTACCTATGGATATAATATTCCATTTCTGACAATAGAGCATCCTAAATGTTACACACTGGACCTTTAAAATGAGGAATACAGAATCAGCAGGTGGAATCGGGGGCATGCAAGTAGAATTCCAACCACACAGCCACACATTGACAATGTTAACAAACAAAATTAACAATATATAATATAATAATTTAAGACGTGATAATTGAAAAAATGAACAAATACATATTTAAAAAATTGAGAGACCTTAACTACAATTGAACAGCCTATTTGGGGAAAAAATAAAGACAAAGCAGAAAATCATATAAGGTGGAGATCTTGTAGAACAAAATGTCCTATTTGTTAGTGAGTCTGTTATCTTTTCCAGAGGTATGCATCTGTTCACTTCTGAGAGCCACAGTCCAAGTGTTCAATGGGAGATCCGACTTCCATTTCATTGCAACACAGTTTTTTGGCAGTGGTTCAGTGGTAGGATTTCTGTAAGCTAGATGGCTTGACTATGTGTAAATTCTGTGAGAAATTGTAAGTATGCAGCAAAATCCTGTATTTGTAGGAGGTATGTTCAGACACAAAGCAAACTTTTTGCCTCATACTTTATTAATATAAGAGGTCTGTTTTGTTCTGGTTTATAGTGGTTTTCACCACAATATCTACCAAACTTCTACAGACGTTAATGTGAATCTTTTGTTCTTTCATAATGGCATAATGGGTAAGTATTTGGTTTAGTTCAGTTTATTTGCACAATAATACAAAGCAAAATACATACATATAGAAGACAGTACATACAGTGCAGGAGAGGAGGGAAGCCTGACAGTAAAGTATATGAAAAGGTTTTTATCGATGTACTCTTACAAACACTGTATAACCAGATAATTAACTCAAATAATTGTTGAAACTGATTACATCAATTTTTTTAAGCAAACTTTTGTAAGTTATCATTATTAGTAATTATTACAACAGAGTTATAAAGTTACAGCTACACATACAAAGGTTGCATTACTATAGAGCAAAACAAGTCCTGCTGAACCAGCTGAACCCAAATGCAGACACTGGACAGAACCTTTCAGTGACAGGTGGGTGCCATCACAGGCAGTTGTTGTCAGTAACCAGGCTTCATTCTGGCCGCTTCCCTGCCTTTGCCCATTTTCGGACCACACGAGTTTCATAACCAGAGCATGTGAGCCTCCTCTCATGCTCTGCTCCTCCATTCAAAGCCTCTCTGGGGTGCCCCGCTCAAAATCGCTCAACTCAGATTTCAACCCGCTCCACTAAAATCCATCACCGCTCACTCCAAAAAATGAAAAAAGCTGTGTTCTACTTTAATTTTATCTTAAACCCTGTATAAGCTGTATGACACACACACACAGGCAGCAGGAGAAAAGCTCCTCCCTTAAGATCTTTTTAACTTCATTGCTGCAGAAGAAGCGACAACCCTCTTACCCATGAAGACATAATTCGTGAGATTAATATAAAGATCAACTGCACGTATTATTAGAGAAAACCAATTGTTGACCAGCGCTGAAAAATGTGCTTCTGATATAAATTAACAATGAATTGGAAGTGTGGGACCTGTGCTGCCCGCCATCAGAGCGCACTTCTTTTGAGGACTGGTGATTGCCTGAGGGCAGGCAGGTATGCAGTGAGAGCAGGGCTGGGAGCCAAAGTGAGGCAGGGAGACCCCCCCCCGCCCTCACACCAAGACCTTAGTAGCAGCATGTTGACATTTTTTAAGCTTTACTAGTAAGCACTTAAAGTAGATCAGCCAGAAAGACTGTCCTAAGGCTCATTAATTCACATCTGTCTCTCTCTCTTTCTTACCCACAATTTCCAATTTCCTGGTTGCCAGAGCTGATCATGCAATGCTCTAAATTCCACAAGAAGCGCTGTGACGCATCCCAGAAGTCACTCGGCGCTCTACTCCGTGTAGAATACACGGCTGGTCTATTTTTGACTGAAGCTGCACAGAGCAGCTCGCACTGGCAGGAAGTCAGACACAGAACTGACAGGAAGTCAATCAGTCAGAGGCAGGTTAGAAGTGGAGAAACACACGTTTTGTATCCTTTTTAAGGACAAAATATTATAATAATAAGTAAAAAAGGTAAGGTATTACTCTTTTCGATAAACCAACCAGATTGTGCCCCAATGTCAATCAGCCAATCAAGCCACAATGCCACAAACCAAAGAGGAGGTCGGAAATTGTGGATTTAGTGTTCGTTGTTCTTTTTGATGAACCGACTCCCTCTAGAAAATTATTTGGATGATGTTTAAATGTGGTCAGTGCAATCTAAAGACCTTTATGATGAAACATTGTACAAATTGTGAGTTTTTGTTGAATGGCGTGTCTGCAGCATGACGATGTGTCGCCATGAAACAGGAAGCTGTTGTAACTTAAGTATCCTTTGTCCAATCTGCCCCAGACTTCACATATTTGATAAGAGTCCAGGCCTGAACACATCGACATGCCAATATTCAGTGAAAGTCATAGCACCCCCATCTGGCAACATGAAGTAATCCCTGATTGGCAGGCTTGTAATCTGTTTTTGCGGTCAACCATACACATGCTATTGCTACTAGTTAGGGTTGTGCTGAATTAAGGTACTGGCACCTTTTTTGGTCCAATGCAGGCACAGTTGTTTGCTACATTGATCATGGTGTCAACTCCTTTAACGCTATGGTAGGTAATCAGGGAGAAACTAGCAAGAGATGGATGGATTTTGAAAATATCTAACCAGAAAAATCCCACCCCCTCCCTTCAGGCCTCCCTCTAAAGCCACTCCCCCCAAAACACACATTGCGGAGCACATCACATAGTTGTCATTGTGTAATCATATCCAAATACCTCCTGTCTCATTCATACATAGTTCTACATAATACAGAGTTCAGGAAAATAACAGATGACCCCAGAACAAACCCAACCAGATAATTAGCTTGATCTCTCTAAAACTTTTTTCTTGCTTTTGTTCAGCAGTGAAAACTTTTGTATGTAAAGGTGGAACTACACATTTTGGCTGGTCTCTCTGTCTCTGGTACTAGATCGGTAACATTAGCAATATCTTGTTACAGGCCTGTCACTGCTACAGGAATCACATTTCTTTTCTGTTCTTATTTTTCAGAGGATGATTTGATTTATTTATTGATTTCTGTCAGGATGTGAAAAGAACAATAATATAACAAAAATGCTACTGAAATGTCACAATGGGGTCTAATCACCAAAGACCTCATATTTCCCATCTCTATTGTGCCTACGTCAATGAAATATATACTTGTTTACTCAGAATGAAATGCTTTTGTTCTCATTCATAATTTACAGTCACTTAAGGCTTATTGGACTTTATTTGATTTTGTCTTTGTGTGAGAGTGAAATCTTTCTTGATATGCGTTAAATCCAGCTCACAACAGCAGGAACAAACTTGAATTCAGACAGTTATTGAGCTTTATTTCCCTTCACGTAAATCTACATTTACATCTAGGGAACTTTTAACATCAGATGAGCATCTGCTTTGGCCATTCATTGATAAACTACACCAACATCAGTTTCGTGTGATGAATTTTCCACATGTACACACAGACTGACAGCTTCTGAATATATTTTTGCACCTTGTACTAAAGCAGTGAAACAATGACAGCAGCAAAAATAAACCACTGTTTTCCGGGTGACTGAAGACTGTAATGCTGACTGCAACTTCTGTAAGTCAGCCCTGTAAGATTGGGGCATAACCCCACAAAGCGTTTCCAGGCAAAACACAGCTGTGACGTCAGAATGACACCGAATGTCATAACATCAGCACTTTCATTGTGATCTAGCTAAAAAACAAAGTGGTTTGAATTAGCTTTTTCCATTGTTTGCAAATGATCATTGCATATTAAGTGCACTGGGTGTGCTAGAAATACATACAAGAAGAAACAACAAAAAAATGTATAATATTCCAAAGAAGAACTGTGTTAAAATAACAGAAAGTGTTAAATATAAAACTCCCAATGTACCACTGATTCAAAATTACCTTTGATTGCATCATACACACTCCATTTCAACACACAACATCTATATTAGAGTTATTTTTTAAAAGGTGTTTTGAGGCTTTATAGGCTATTAAATGAACAAATAAAGAAAGGTTTGAGGGTTTTCCAGTGTAAATGTCTGTATTGACATAATCCACTTTCCTTTAACTCTATCAGTAAATGGTGGAGCTGATGTGAATAGCAAAATCTGTTCTCAGCGTTGATATGTGGGTGAATATAGGCTATTCTCTCTAAAAACCTTACAATAATAACACAAACACACCAAAAATGTAAAGTTTGATGGTGCACCACTTTGAGATACAAGGCACCCCTGATGAACTTGAATCTGGCCCATGAGCAACATTACCCAGATTTATAGAGCCTGGGTTGATATAACCATCAACATTCTATGGCTCTTTCTCTTTTCTTTCTCCCATTCTCTCTCTTTTGTTCAAATACAGGAACCACTGGGGCTCTAAACACTTAAAGCAATGAAGAGATGGCTCCCCCACTCTGAGTTTCAACTCCCAAACAGTTCCCTCCCATATTCTCACCACTGGCTGACACAGACCATTTCCATGCTCCTCCATCCAGCCATCCAGCCATCCGTCCACAACACTGATTTCTCTCCCCAGCCCTTCCTCCCAAGACCCTCAACCCTAAGCCTGCATCCCTCAGCTTCCATCCATCAACCCTCATCTTTTCATACCTCGACCACCTCCCTATCCCTTCATCCCTCCTACAGTTTCTAATCTTTGATAGGGCATTGTCATGAGTTTGACTACACGCTTGGAATAAGGTGTACACCATTAGATGCCACTACATCCTACACACTGGTCCTTTAAGTATTCAAAGAGAAGAAAATATGTTGTCAAGTAATACTTTCTGGCTGGTTGTGAGCTGTTACTGAATTCCTCTAATTTTCAGCCAGAGTAAGTGCCTGTAGTGGAGCTGCAGCAGTTTCTACTGTACATCCCACTCAGAGCATTGAGTAATCACTCTGCTCTTATATGCAGTTTTTCTCTGTTCACACTGAGAGAACGTCCCATTTGCTCCATTGCGAATGTGATGAATGCTACCCTTCAGTTGCATATTAGGTTACTAGAAAGACACGGAGGGGGTAATATTGATCTAAGGAATATTAATAGACTTTTATCACAGAAGCCATCTTGACATGAAATAGTAGGGTAAACACAGGTGTTACCAATAATTCTAATTAAGGTTCTGTTCCATTCAGGTCAAACTGCCTTTGGGAGGACTGTAGATTATTCACAAACTTATAAAGATTAATATGAAAAAAATATTTCTCTTTTAATTTGGGAACATTCATGAATACAAAAAAATAAAGTTGTTCAGTCAAAACTAAATAAAAATGTATCTTATTATATATTAATATTTTCCACTCTAATCAAAATTCGTAGAGCGTCAGTAGGACAATCCACAGGAATCTAAAGTGTAAAAGTTTCCACGTGAACAAGTCATTTGAGTCTCAGTACATTTCTTTCCACTCTGCAAAAAGGTTGAATAGATTAATTTCGGAGGCATATCAACCTGTTTTAAGAAGCTTTTGAATCAACTGATGAATCTCATATAAAACAGCATATTTTATGTGACTTTTACTGCATTATGACTTTGTACATACACAATAATACAATATTAGTGTGCAACCTTCATTCTTTTTTCCACTCATTCTTTCCTTTTGCAAGAAAAAGCGTCTTGTCATAACACTGAGACGAGTCTGGTTTATTAAAATCACTGAAATTAGTTCTTCTCGGCTTTCCTGCAGAACCGCAGCAGGGTTAGAGCCTTGCTGTCTCTCTTTACTGGCAATCATCATCATTTCCTGTGGCACACAGTTTCCATGACAGTTGAGGGAAACACCAATATAAAGGTAAGTTCTACTGTTTTTTGCTGTATTTTAATGAAATTTGCTCAGTGTGAAGGTGTGTGCTCACTAGCGTTTTGTAAACTGTAAGTGTCTGTGGCTTTCTGTGTAGCTGTGAGAGACACTGTAGGATGCTCCTGACTCACTGTATGATGGAATGGATTGTGCTGGCAGTCCTCAGCCTCTGCCTGCCTGTGTGGAGTGGTGAGTATAAACACACTTATGCTGATGTGATGATAGGGATGTCCAGTACATGGATTAGTCACACTTTTTGCACAGTCCAGTGTTAATGGTCAACTGAGTAGCAAACCGGATGTTCAACAAACTGGTATTTGACAGTTTTGCTGGACCTCTTTACACTCTCTCTTTAGACCAGATACTAAAATGCTGACCTGGCCTATGGTGACTCAATTTCTCTAATCTTGAGCCAAAAGCCTGATTAACACTGAATTAGATTTAATACGATTTCACAAATAATATGTGGCGAGTAGATACATTTGTAGGAAAATACATTATGTGACAGTACTGTACAAACACTATTGTCATACTGATGTGTTCTGTGGTGGTGGAGCAGACCAGTTATATAAAGGTAGAAATCTTCCTATTGAACTGTTTTTAGGTGTAAAACACATCGGAATGTGTTGTCTATTAGAAACCACCTCCTTTATTTTGGCACTGAACAAAATACCATTCAGAATGTTAAGAATAGCAATGGACATAGATAATAAAGTACTCTCACGCAGTATATTGTTAAAAGTGTAGTACAACATTTTCAAAATATGCTTTCTTTCTTACTTACTTACTAAAGTTAGATGAGAAGATCGATAGATAAAAGCTAATAAGCATATTTTCCAAAATGTACTACTCCTTAAAGCTTTTCCATCTGGAGTGCTTACAGATAGAGACTATAATAAAAAAGTGCTTATGAAACTTTTCTATCTAACTGCTTTTCACCAAAGCAGTGCTGTGGAATCAGTTTGAGTTTTCATTATGGAATTTTTGTTATTCATGTTCCTGTGGTGGTATTGGTAAAACTGTCCTACTGAAAATGCTGCAGTTCACTGGCAAAGGTTTTTCAGAGACCAGTGTTTAATGCTATACTAAAAAAAATTTCAGTAACAAGAAGTTAAGGAAATTACAATTTGAAATTCAGTGATTACGAGTATATAATTGTAAAAATTCTATTTTTTTGAGGTGTTGGCTTGTTGGCTGTGGATGGGAGGGTCAATATCAGTGGGTTTTTTTTCTGTGAGTTCTGTGGAGAACCTAGATGGAAGGTGTTTGTTTAACTTCTTAGCTAGCCAGCCACTGGTTAGCTTACATTGAGGAATCACCTGGTTTTGTTAAGTGCTGGGAGCAAGCATGAACCCCACAGCTTGATTTCTGCAGAGCTGCTTCTTGCAGTCAGACGACAATGTTTCATTTTTTTATGTCGGCATGCATTAAACACAGAGGAAGTGTGGGTGTGGAGAGTTTCAGGATTTTGTAAGTCACCTTTGACAGAGCTGAGTAATGTAGCAGGTAATTAAATAAATTACCTCTGATGTTTAGCAATTAGTAGAGGAATGTAATAACATTTTCATGACGTAATCATTTTCAACTGTCAAAAACACTTATCAGTCAGTGTAAATTTTCCATTGCTCACCACTGCCTGCAAACTTAAAAAAGACAGCAGTAAGTTTTTCCTTTAAAGAATCAGTGTGTAACATTTAGGAGGATCTAATGGCAGAAGTGGAATAAAATATATAGTATAAACACCTGAAAATCCGACTTGGACTATGGAACTGTATATTGAACTGCCATGTTTCGACTAAGCCCAGAACAGACAAACCAAACACTAGCTCTACATAGGGGCATCTGTGTTTTTTGCACAATTTGTGGACACCGTAGTTCCTCCTACATGCTTTGGAAGGCAAGCGTTATTTAGTCAGTTGCAACCTGCTACTTCACTATTATATCATGCACACTGGATCTTTAACATGCTGTCTGTTCTATTATAAACAATGAATCTGCAGAGGTCTTGTCTGTTATGACTTTGCCCTTTGCAATCGGTACATAATCATGAGGTAAAGACTGGCAGGACACAAAACACACTAGACTCCAATTCTTAACTATTTTCACCCAACCTTCCCCTTTTTTCTGCCAGCTGTGAAGGTGATCCAGCCCTATAGAGTGGTGACCACCAATGGTACAGCACAAGTCAAATGCTTCATCAAACCCCAACCCTCGAACCACCAGAACCAGCTCTCTGAAGAAGATAGCATGCCATACCCCTACCCTGGCCCTGAGGAGCTCCGTGTGACTCTGCTGAAAGGCCTCCATGGCACCCAGAAAGTCTGCTCATCTGTCCTCATCCTCAAAGAGCAGAGGGAGATAAAAGAGGAGATAGAAGGAGAGGTACGTTTGTGGATGGATGGATATTAACTTATTTGCATATTTCGTTAGAGAGATTTTGGATTTGTGCTCATGAAGTGGGCAGGGTTGCACCAATCAGCATTTCACAACATTTAAAGCAGAATTTGATGAAAGTTGGGTGGTTGCTTTTCTTGCCAGGCTACTGTTAATTCAAATCTGAGGAAACCACACACACACAGTCCTGATGAAACAGATTAACTGGGTTTTTGAGTGTTAACTGCTAATAAATAATACATGCTGATGTTTTCCCCTGAACTGTGACTATGATTGTTGCTTATTTAGTCATAACTATACCAAATGTAGTTAGTCAGTTTGGCCTGAGGGTGGTGCTAAAGTTCACACTGTCCAACATGAGAAGGGAGAATAGATGTGCTGAGTATCTGCCCATTGGATTTTAGTATTTATGAGAAAAATGTAATTAAAAGGAGTAAAAAATGCCTTCATCAAGAAGTATGGTATGGCACAAAAAATCTAATTCCAGGCACTGAAGTGGATGGTGATAAATAAGTCTTTGATAAATATGGGCTACTACATTATAAAAATACACATATCAGCCCACATATCAAACTTTTGACACCTTTCATACAGGTTAATACAGTTGGTACACATAATAAAGTGAAATAAAAACTAGATGAAATTAATTGAAAAAACATTGCAAAGATAAAAATAACAATAAAATAAAATAGATTTAACAGGTATAACATTATACATACAACAGTATATATATGTAGCATTAAATAAAAGCTATACTAGAAACTAAATCAAAAAGATTAGGAGGACAAGACAAAATAAAAAAATAAATGAATCAATAAAATCAATGAGAGATAAAAAAAAATATATTTTTTATAAAGTAACAACACAAAAATGTTTTACAGAGTAAATAAAATATAGTAAAAAAGCATTGTTAGTTCAAAGCCAGGCTGAAGAGGTAGGATTTAAGTTTACATTGAAAGATTTCAACTCTTCCATCTGCTCTCAGATCCTCCGCCAAACTGTTCCTGCGGCTCGGAGTGTAAAGGCTAAAAGCTGCCTCACAAAACGTTTTACTCCTGCAGTCTAGAACTACTAACAGACCAAATGCCAGAGCATCAAGGAATCAAGGAAATGTGTTTATCATTATAAAACACAGGGCTGTATAACAAAATGAAAGTTTGAGATAATAGTTAATCAAATTCATAGAATAACATTAAAGATAAATAAAATAGAACATACACTGTGAGCATGTGTGACACACAGTATATACTGGTGCAAGACCATAAAGTGCTTTAAAAACAAAATTATTTGGAATAATTTCTACATAACCTATTTGTTGTTTCCTACTTGTTCTTGAAAATAATCACATGACTCAAATTAACTATTTTCTACCTGCTGGAATCAAACTCAGGTTTAATGTGTGCTTTTTATTGTGTGTTTTAGTTTCAGTGCTCTGCTCAGGAGAGCGAGGACGCTGTGGAGGTGACAGTGTCCGGACTGAAAGCCACAGACACAGATATGTACCGCTGCGAGATAGAGGTCTTCTACCCACCGCCCTACCTGCGGCTCACAGGCAATGGCACACTTATTCATGTCATAGGTGAGACGCACACAACATACATACTCTCATGTGCAGGTTGAGCCACTGAGCTCACAGTTCACATGTTCTTCTGTCCTTCTTTCAGTCTGACTTTCTCTTCAACCATTTCCTTTGTCCACAGACCGCGGAAACGCTTCCTGTCCTGTGCAGGAGGCTCACAGGCAGATTGCACAGCTGGGTGGTGAAGAAGAGGATGACGAGGGTGATGAGAATATGGCACCAGTCAGTGTTCCAGTGGTTATACTGGTGATACTAGTCATATTTGTTCTCATCATCATTATCTACCTCCAGGTCAGAGCACTATTGTTTTATTTTTATTCATGTTACAATGATGATTTATGGTTAACTGGTTGCAGTGGGATCAATTAGTACATTTTGTATTATTATTATTATACATTTTATGGTTATCATTTTAATTAGTAAGTAAAAGTGGTAGTCATAGTTACTATTGGTGGATGCAACAAGTTAAAATTTCAAATAGCCCTGAAATGCACCACTTGTCCCTGTAAACACTCATACACACTAAAGGAACAGATAAAATTCGATTGACTTTATTGACACAGCACAATAAAAATAGAAAATACACATTGAATAAAAACAGAATATAAAAACATATAATGGAAAGATGTTAATATTAAAAGAGTTGTATGTACATAAGAGTTATATGTATATGAAAACAGATCACTGACACAACCTAAAACTACATTTTATACATGGTCAATGTGTGCCTGTACCAAAAAATTGGCTACATTGTTGAATACACTGTTGTATAGTAGAAGTAGTAGTCTAAGCAGTAATACCCGCAGTAGCAGCTGGAGTAGTCACAGCAGTGATAACAGTAGCAGCGGTGGTAAGTCAATCAGGGTGGGTGAACCACAGTTTACTTTATTGAGGTCTTTGCTTTACTGAGGTCGTAAGAAGGGGCCCTGTGTCAAAATCTACATTTAATACAGACAATTACTTCAGCTAATGCAATGTTCCCTATCTCTGGAATATGACACTAAATGCTAAATCCCTCCATGAGCTCCTTTTCTGTTCTCTTTGCTGATACTCTTCACTGTATGCTATCTAATAAAATGTAACTATCCTCTATTGTTTACTGCATTCAAATCTGTGTGTTTTCCCTCTGCAGACTTTCCAGTGTGAGCGAGTGAAGAGGGAGATTGTCAGAACCATGCCTGGTGTGATCCACAAGGTGGATGCTGCTGCATATTCATGTGAAAACATTCCATGAAAAACACACCAATGTGTCTCCCCCAACTCCAAATAGTCACCTTGGGGTCATCAAAGCACCCTTGTATCAGTGTTAGACTACCATTTAGAGGGTTAGAGGAATATAGGTCAGTACTGGCCTATAGACAAACACCAAAATGACATTTGAGTGTGTGCATATTTTACTTTGTAAGTATTAAATAATGTTTACATTTTAGTAAACACAATTATATAAAAAAGCTGAAGCTTTTGAGTTGACTTAATGAGCTCTCAACCATACTGCAGCTAGAAAGCTTGTGGCCTATGGCTAATACTGTGTACAAACTACTAGTTTTATTAAAAACTGAATCATGTTACACGCTACAGCTAAAAAATGCAATGCTTTGTATCTTTAGGCTACCGCGGCAGTGTATTCATAGCTACCTTATGTTTGAATATTTTGTTGCCATCGCAATGTTAAACAAATATTCATGTTGGATATTTCATTAAAATAAAGTTTCTTCTCTTTAAATTGTGGTTTTGTGTAATGTATTATTTAAAAAAAAAATCATAAATACATATATCAATGAACCTTACAGATCCAAAACACAATCTAAATACTGTAAGTTGTGCTGTCTCCTTTTCTTCAAATGTCCTTCAAGAACCAATTAGCCAAGTGCAGATGGAACAAAATCGCAAAATTAAGATATACATCAACATGGAACCAGTTCCACTTCAGTTCATGCACCTAATTTTGAACAGTTCGGAGCATTTTAACGGTACAGTAAAATATGTTCTGAAATGATTTTAAGTGAAGAATAGTCAATAGTAACAAAATCTTGATCTATATTTTATCAGCACTGCCTACTTTGACCATAATTTACTAAATGAACATCATGCTGTATGGTAGAAGATTTAAGACTAGAGACTGAGACCATAAACTCATAAGGACACTGTTTACTCAGCTGATACATCAAGTCAGCTGTAGGCTAATTTCTGAATACTGCATGGTATTGGCCCTTTATTGACAGCAGGGGGCAGCCCATTGAGGTGCCCCCTGCTAGTCAGTACATTCAGCAATGAAACTTACAGATCCAAAACACAATCCAGATTCTGTAAATTGTGTCCTCCAAGAACCAATCAGCCAAGTGCACATAGAACAAAGTTACAAAATGAAGATAAACATAAAAATTGTTTAAATTTGATGTTCAAGACACTTCTGCACTGGCTTCACTTCACATATATATAGTGGACAGAGCTTCTGCCAATGCTTTAAATCAGAAACATATGCCTCAGAAACATAAACCACAGAGACATGTAGTTATACAGACAAACATACACAGAAAACCTTTCACCTTTTTTTATTATCCAGCAGTTGGTTACACAAAACAACATCAAAGTAAGTAAAAGCCCCTCATCAAATCTTATCTTATTCTGCGGGTGCAATTAGAAAACCACAATATGATGAACTAAGAGCTGAGAGTTTTGAATGGATTGTAGACAGAGCAAGTCGGAGTGCTTTAAAGACTGTAAGTAGAATGTTGAAGTTCATTTTGGCATTAGAGCTAAATCTTGGTAATCAAGCAAAGGGCAATACAAGAGTCTGAAACCTGTTGGAGATAAAAGTATGAACCACTTTCTCAGAATCAGCTTCAGATATAAACAGTGTAACTTCTGATATGTTGATGTTGCCCTAGTTTTGTGATTGACGTGACTTTCAGTTCCTGACTTGCTGTGTGTATTCCAGCCACAGTGACTCTCAAAGCGAAATACGTTTCCTGTACCTGGTTTTTAGGACCTACCACAAGTATGTCAGTCTGAGAGTCAGGTTGTTTACAATAAGCAATAGTTTGTACCACATACTGTCAAACCTTTGGAAATCAAAAGTGTATAACTGTTCTGAACGGCTGCACTGAAAGGTGGAGTGAAAATCCGGCTGTCACAGAAAGGGGGATATGTGATATTGTTTAAATATTGGGATGGCCTAATGGTGCACATTTACCATCCACTATTGTTTACTACATTCAAATCTGTGTATTTTCCATCTGCAGACTCTCCAGCGTGAGCGAGTGAAGAGGGAGATTGTCAGAGCCATGCCTGGTGTGATCCACAAGGTGGATGCTGCTGCATATACATGTGAAAACATTCCATGAAAAACACACCGATGTGTCTCCCCCAACTACAAATAGTCACCTTGGGGTCATCAAAGCAGCTTTGTATCAGTGTTAGAATATCATTTATTTTTAATGGAGGATTAGAGAAATATAGGTCAGTACTGGCCTATAGACAAACACCGAAATGACATTTGAGTGTGTGCATATTTTACTTTTTAAGTATTAAATAATGTTTAATGTTTATGAATGTGGGTGAATGGGTGAAAGTGGCAGGTGGTATAAGAGCGCTTTGAACGGTCGGAAGACCAGAAAGGCGCTATATAAGTACAATCTTACCATTGTAATCTTTACCATTTACCTCCACACACTTGGTCAATCGTGACATGAAGTGGGTATGAATGATGGTCTTTTTCGGAAAAGTTACAGAAATGATTGGACGCAGTTCACCTAAGCCGATGTCAGAAAGGTACGGGGAGAGAGTGTTTGCAAAGCTGGCAGCTTTATTGTTATTCAACTGTGAAGAAAAAAGTTGGTGGGACTGAAATCATCAGAAGAGACCTAAATGCACAGCTGTGTGTCATCCACACGTGAATCTATAGGATAGGAGATTTCCTTATAATGTTCCCAAAAAGGAGCATAAAAAGAGTGTTAATGAAAAATAAATGGTCCAAGTATTGACCCTTGTGGAACCTAGACTAGACCTGCTCTATTTGAAAAGTGTCCTGAGATAACTTCTGTTATGAATTGGCGCTATACAAATAAAATTGAATTGAATTGAATGTGTTAGTAAAAGTTAACATAACTCAATCTTCCAAAAAATGTAGAGTCACCCAACCCCTAAATTAAACCTTACTGAAAAATGAATTGTTGAAGTAATAATTCAGTTGTTTTAGTGCACTTACATTTGTGCAGTATTTTAAGTATTGGTGATACAATTCCAAATTGTTCTATTGACTCATTTGTTTAAGTTGTAAGATCATTACAGAAATGTAATTTCCACTGACCATGAATATGGCCAATATTTTGTGTTGTTTATCTTGGTGCAGTGTCTTGGTTTCACAGTCTACAGCGATTTAGTACATTATGGTAAATGCTAAAATCAGCAAGCTAACATGTTCACAATGACAATGTTAACATGCTGATGTTCAGCAGGTATACTGTTTGCCATGTTCACCATACCAGTTCAGTGTGTAAACATCTGCTTATTAGTGCTAAACACATATCTTTAGCACCAAACACTGCCCTTTGTTCACACACACACACACACACACACACACACACACACACACACACACACACACACACACACACACACATTGATAGCAAGGAGCTACCATGCAAGGTACTGGTCTGACCATCAGGAGAAATTTGAAGTTTAATGTCTTGCACAAAGACACTTTGACTTATGGGCAGAATCGATGACCATGTGATTAGTGGGTGACATCCATTGAGCGATATCCCCTTCAACACTGCTGAAGGTTGCAATGTAACACAAACCCCTTAAATAAACAAGTAACTAATAGAATCTTAATAATAAGAAGAAAGATAACTGCTGTAACGCCCTTGTTTAATTTGTTTTGCTTGACTTTCCTCACTATAGAAAGTTAACAAGATAATTGTGCAAGAAAAACATAAAAAAAGTAGAAAAGAATAAGGACCTTAGATCGATCAATCAAAGAAAAATTCCGGCTGCTTATGCTGGTTGTGTTTGTGGTTTTTGTCTCACACACATGCACAAAAATTTCACAGAAATACAAACTCTGAAAAACAGGATGTGAAGTAACATTGCAGACTTTGGTCACGACAGATCATATCAAAGGGTTCATTGTCTTTCAGAGAATTTATGCCGATAAAGATAATGGACAGACACAAACCATACATGTCTGCTTTGCACAAAGGGGATTAAATCAAGATTTCTTTCTAAAACCTCATGAAAATTCAGCCTTGTCAACGGAAATGTAAAATGCAGACAGTCACAAATACAAAAACATGTTTTCCTCCTTATCACACTTAGTAATGATAATGAGCTCTCCGTCAACAGTAACCTGGTCTGGATAATCTTTAGAAGTGGTGGATGATAACTAACATTTACTCAGGAACTACGTTTGATGCACTTTACTTGAGTATTTCTATTTGTGTGATTTAAAACTTATAATCAGCATATACAAAGATGATGCACTGGTATGCAGTAACATAATAAACTGTGTGAAATAGTTAAAGATTCTTTCCAGGTATGTCAGATTTGTTTTTTTTTTTCCAAATAAGTTAAATTAGGCCATTTTAAAATGTATTAAATTCTTAAAATTACATCTACTCCTGGGCGCCCCGTTAGCTCACCTGGTAGTGCTGGTGACCACGTACCAAGTTGATGCAGCGGCCCAGGGTTTGAATCCGACCTGCGGCCCTTTGCTGCATGTCATCCCCTCTCTTTACCCCACTTTCCTGTCTATCTTCAGCTGTCACTATCCATTAAAAGGCAATAAAAGGCCCAAAAAATGACATCTACTCCTACTCTGTCATTAAAAAACAGAACATATGAATATGCAGATATTCATAATTTCAGAAGTATGACTGCACAACACAACAAGTTTCCTAATTCATTTAAAGTTTCATTCTCAGTGTAGCCTATGTGACTGGAGGTTTCATGTTTTCATGTCACACTTCACTGCATACTGGACCACAATTAGCTTCCAAACTAGTTGTGACATAACAAAATCCTGCTTATATACATGTCTTAGACTCAGATTTATTTATTTTTTCAAAAATATTGTTTGGAGGGCTTTGGTCTTTATTTGACAGGACAGCTTGAAAAAGACAGGAAAGGGGGGAGAGAGAGAGAGGTTGCAACAGCAAAGGGCCACAGGTTGGAGCCGAACCCATGGCCGCTGCAGCAAGGACTCAGCCTTGGTACATGCCAGCTCTACCAGCTGAGCTATAGGGTGCCTCTTAGACTCAGATTTCAAGCAGCATTGTGCAAGAATTGGTATTTTTTTTGCAATTTGGCAGCCCTACAATTTGTAGCAAGTCACTTTTACACAACTGTCCTAACTGTACTGAGCTCAGACCAGGACTATATATGGAGAAAATATATAGTCCTATATAATCCTAAACTAAATTTACTGAAATAACTGCTAACTGCTGCTAATTGACAGCTCAGTCAGCCATCCAGCTAATGGTCCTGACCACCGTCATTTTAAAGATGGACGTCATGTCTCCATTCCCTCCCACTGTAAAAAAATGAAGCCAAAATATCCTGGATACGGCCACTGCCATCTTGCATTGTGCAGTAGTGATCCGGGTTGTCGCCCATATGTCCGACTCAATCGCGAACATGGCTCAGCTGTCAATCATGATGTGAAACCCACTTTTTATACCTTCAAATAACTCATTAAAACCTAACCGAAGAAATATTAATACTTGAGTGCAGAGGCATGAAGCAAATGAAGTGCAGGCACCAGAGAGACACAGAATTTGGTTAGATCAGCATCTAGTTCAATCTTAAAAGTTCCTTTTGTCATGTCGTCCATCTTTATATACACTACTCACAAAAAGTTAGGGATATTCCACTTTCGGGTGAAATTTATGGAAAATGTAAAAAGTTGATGCTACAGTGATATTATATAATGAAAGTAGGGCATTTAAGTAGAAGGTCAAATTAAGATCATCTGGAAAGGTTATAGTGCATTTTATTTACATTCTGAAATTTCATCCGAAAGCCGAATATCCCTAACTTTTTGTGAGAAGTGTATGTTGATGGTCCTGACTGCCCAGACTGGGAGCTCAGATGACCGTTCTTGCCTAATTCTTGTATCATTTGTGGTCTGATAAACAGTAAATTTATCAAATTCAGTGCCTCATATCACTATTTTCCATGTTACTGTATGCCATATTTCGCAGGACCTGTGTGAGCCGAGAACCGAGTTAGCTTCTTCTTAGCTGAAGACCATTAGTTGGTGTTTTATGACGTGGTGTATTAAGCATTTCATACTTCTAGCAGGAGATCATACAACAAAGTGGCGTCTTTGTTTGTCTGACAGCACAAATAACCAAAAAAAGAAGAAAAAATCAATTTACAATAATATAAGACAAAGAAACAACAAATTATCATCTGGACCTATTTAATATGTTTGTCATTTTTGCTTCAAAAATTACCTACATGATGAATGGGTTATCAAAACATTTGCCGATGGACTGATCCATTAAGTGACTACTTCTTTCAACTCTAGATTTAACATTTTATTTTGTTTCGCTTTTTGGTCTAAGGACCACTGGTCTACTACTCTGTAGTAGCATCATATTTAACGATACATTTGAAGTCAGGACTCAAGGTAGAGCTTTGATCAGACCCAAAAAATCAGGCCTGACCCGACCAGAGCACAAAAATTCTGTCTGAGCCAAAACCGTGGAAGCAGGTTTGGCCGTAAAAATCTAATTCAAGGTTTTGGGTACTGCTGGCCCCTGAGAGTGTACATACATCATCAAAGTATCTGAACTATTTCAGGATTTTATGATGAAGAGCTAATTAAACAGTGAAACATCAAACAGTTTTTCTTTCAAAAAGGCTTGCTTACTGTTCTCTGATACAAAAGTCACCAAATTCGTTGCCCTAAATTGTAAATTCTAAAACTTTCCACAGAAGGAAACAAATTTATATCACATTTCCCGCTGAACAGGAAGTGGTGTGGTTTACTCTTCCTTTTAGTCTATAAAAACAAAAGACGACGATACGTTATTGCATGACGTGTGTTGGCAACAGGAAAATGCGGCACACACAGAAACTACAAAAACAACAGTTTGAGTGACAGTTAATAACTGGAGAGAGCAGAGGCATGAAGGCAGTGAAGTGCAGGCACCAGAGAGACACAGAATTTGGTTAGATCAGCATCTAGTTCAATCTCAAAAGTTCCTTTTTCCTGTTGAATTAAGAGCTCACTCAGCATCAGAATGAGCTGTTTGTGGTTATGATGTTGGTTAACATTGATGTCTTTGTGTTGTGATTCAGTTTATACCACAGCATGAGAGGAAGCAGAAATGCAAAGATGACAGCTCAAGCTCGCCACTTCAACATCTTCATCAGCTGCACAATTTATTTGAGCTTCACCTTCCGCAAAAGCCATGGTAGGACTCCCAGTTCCCCCCTACTGTCTATAGGAATTTACATACTTCTTTTTTTTTAAATGTGATTTTGTGTTCTTATTTGTTGTATTTTAAACATAACAATATGACCAATAATAATAATTCAACTAACGATCTAATGAAATTTGTCTGATCAACCATTGGTTTACATGTGCTTTTCCTTCATACGACCTAAAATGTTTCTGCATTTGTTGCTGTAAAAGAATTGGTAGTCAGTGTTGTACGTTTTTATCCATCAGGTTTTGAGGTGATTCAACCACAGAACCAGACTGTAAACTCAGACGGGTCAGCCTCTATCAGCTGTGAACACACTGCAAACGGCACCATTGTCGATGTTCGGCTCATCGGCATATCACTGTATGTACCCTGGTGTCATTAAATGAGTGGTGTTTGTGCAATGATAGGAGCCTGAGTTGTGAAATACTAAAATGAAGGGGTTCATTTAGATAACATTAGATAACCTATTAACTTATTTGTGTCTCCTTTCTCTCTGGTATCAGATTCTCATTTCATTGTTCTTCCTTAGCCAAGTCAGAGTGTCTTTCTGTGGTAAATAAGTTAGTTAGTTCATAACTTTTAATGACTTTCTCCTTTTCTACCTAGATTTATATGTGTACTGCAGTAGGTATTTGTGGTAAGAAAGAGATCTCAATTAGTTATTATATGAGGTTTTTTCAGGGAGTTTAGAGTGAATCAAAGTAACTAAAGATGTGAGGGCCCACGGTTCAAACAGATCCAGAGAGTTTAACCAGCCAGCTACAGCTAGGGGACCTAACATAACTGCAATTACTGCCATTGTGCAGTGACACATAACGGCAATTTGAACAGGATCTGGTTACAGATCTAGGTTATGGAGTATATATATAAAGACAGAGATGTCATGCATATGAACACAAGTGGAGACACAAAACAAGAACTGATCATTTGATCAGGAAGCTTGCTGTAAGTCTGTATAATTGTCGGGTTTATCAGTGAATGGGACAGATCCTCATGTTTTAAACATTGAGTGATTTGCCCAAACCTAGGGGAGATTTTTTTCCCATTTACTGCAGCTATATGTATTATTTTTCAAGCCAGTTGAGATAATTAAATGCCTACATTATTAGGGAGAAACATTAAAAGTTGCTCAGGAAAAAGATCATCCTGTAGAGCCTACATGCAATTTTTTTTAATCTAATCGTTCTCCAACTGTCTACATCATTCTGCAACCAGAACACAACAAATGTTTAGGACTAATCTTCACTCCTAACACCTAAAGTTACTATTTTTAAGTTACATAACATAAGTAGTGTAGGTGCAAACAGCATTAGTAATCTATACTATTTTACTATGCATTTCTACTTTTCTGTATCTTTTTTTTCATGGATTATGTTTAAAATTTTTGATGTGTGATTCACGCAGAAGGGTGATTCATCACTAATCTACTCTTAAAACACCAGCATGCTCCTCTTGCCATCACCAATGAAGCGTAGAGTAGGACAATATCTTTTCAGTCAGACAACTCACGTATGAAATGTTTATTACAGCAGTATAGCATATTTAGATTTTGGCGTCTATAGGCTCCGACCTCATCATTCCCCGCAGATATGTTTATATAGAGATATTGGAGAGTGATGAGCAAATGACTTTATAAGATTGGAAGCGCGCTTGGTTAGCGATTATGGAGTGAGGCATGTCATGTGTGTATAGCAGTGCAGCTCGAGTTGACTGCCTGAACTGCGACTTGCAGGTGTCGCTCCAAAAACTTGAACTTAAATGTTATGGAGTAGAAGTATAAAGTAGTATAGAACAGAAATATTCAAGACAACTAAGCCAAAATTGTACTTGTACACCTGTTGAGTAAACTTAGTACTGAAGTACTTAGTTACCTTCCACCATTGGGTATCAGTCTTCCCAAAATATTAAATTATTATTCTAATTCATCAACTGGTAGACGTACTCTGTCTAATATGTCTTTGTTTACTCTCAGTGGAGACAAACCTATACAGACCATTCTCTGCCAGAAGGGAATGGACGCCTGTGATAAAATTATAATGCATCAAGAGAATCCCAAAAAGTTCCTTTTCATCTTACTCAACATTGGGCCGGTGGAGATGAACAAGAAATACGAGTGCGAGTTCACAGTGAAATGTGATAACGATGTAGATTACACCAGTACAGGAAGACAGACCGAACTACTACCAGGTATGTTCAACACTTTGGAAGATTATAGTGAAATACAATGGTTACATGTATCTCCTTTCATATTCTATATACTGCTACTGTGTGTTAATTTAAGTAAACACAATGTAAAAAAAAAAATGTATTTACCCTTTAAACTTTTTTTTCTAACTATGTTTTTATTAGGTCAAAAGGAAGCGGTCTGCATATCTCACCCTCCTCCTCCTCCTTCTTCTCCTCCTCCTCCTCCTCTTCCTGTTCCTCTGTCTCATGAGCTCAGATGGATTCTGATTGGTCTGCTGGCTCTCATGTTCCTGTACAGCTGTGTCATCACCTCCTTCTACATCAGACTGAGGGTAACTATCTTTCTGACTTACTGACAGTTACTGATGGAATGTGGATGAAATTTGATTTACTTTACAGATTACAATTTTTTGTATCCGTCTTGTCCAGTGAAAACCATGTATCTCCAAATGTGGTGATTTTGAATTGGAAAACTGATTAATTGTTTGAGAGAAAGCTCCTACTTCTTACAGCTTATACATACTCCAGTGACAAACCTAGTAATTTTACCTAGCAGATAATCTTAAATAATTTTATAACTTCATACTCCAAAATAGTAATATGGCTTCAGTTTACCGTATTTTGGCAAACCAGCTTCATCAGAGCCACATTTTGGGGCAGTTTTTGAAAGAAAGGGTCAATAATGTGAGAGCCAAAATGAAACTTAACTAAAGTTATAAACTCTCACTTTATCACTATTTTCTTTTCTTTAATTCAATCTAGTCTGTTGTAAACAAAATCAAATTTTTAAAGGTTCAGTGTGTAGGATTTAGTGATATCTAGTGGGGTAGTTCCAGTTTGCAACACACTCGCTTCCCCCTCCCTTTCCAACTGCGAGGGAGAAACTACTGTGGCCACGAAACATGGGAGAAAGATAAACGGCCCTATAGCAAGTGTTTGGTCTGTAGATTAAGACGGTTCATTCTAAGGTAACGTATATTCAGGTGATTATGCTCTAATGAAAACATACCTATGAACATTATATTCCATTTCTACCTATAAAAACATCCTCCTAAATGTTACACACTGGACCTTTAACTATAGCAGCTACAAATAGCAACTTTTTATCGTGACTACATTTTTTATTAATCTTCCATGACCCTGTCTGCACATCAGAAGTACAGGAACAGCATCAACTATCTATAACATTGCCCGTTGTAAATAATACCTCTCCAGCTGTGTTACAGGCTTATTCATTGAGCTACACAAAAAGAAAACGATAAGAAATGTGTTACTTTTCTGTTTCTGTGTTTCAGTTCAGCAACAGAGAACCTGACAACTCCACCTATGTTGTAATGAGGAAAGCTCCTCTGCAAAGGAATCCACCTTTAGACATTTATTGTGGCTAATGGATTCAGCTTTCTTCACCACTGGCCTCACACTGACTGTAATGAGAGGGAAGACATGGATCCTAGGAGGAACTCTTCTGACAGCTTTTTTTTCATGCAGCTGGAATCATAATCGCCAACATTTGCAGTTTTCCATTTTATCTCAAGTCTCTTTTCCTACATGATTTGAAAACCATTGTACTACTGAATATAAACAGATAAACAGTGAGACAAAGACTGTCTAAAGTGGCCGTGCTGTATGCTACTGTACATCTGCTTTTATAGTTGTGCAATATGGTATTGTTATATATTATATATATATGGATATGTACAATTAATTATTAATCTTACCCCTTTTCAATCAGATACTTCTTAATGGAAGCTATATAATGCTTTGACTGATTTTATGTATACCCCCATACTTCAGAAAAGTATTTAAAAGCTTTAAAAATATGATCTTGACTAAAATTTGTTTGGTTTGGCTTCTATGGCTTGCACCTGCCTAAATTATTGTATTTAGTTGTTTTCAAGTAATGAACCCAAAGCAAACTTGTAAGCTCGAGAGCTATATTTTCCCTTTTTAATAACCCTTATTGAATGAAATTGTGTACAATAGGGGGAAAAATCCAGGGTAGAGTGCACAGAGGAGGAGAGGGAAAATAGAGAGAAACTCCAGGAGGCAATTTGTTTTTCCAAGGCCGGTAAAAGAATCATCCAATCATAGTGTTGGGTTTGACCTCAAGAAAAATATATATAGTACAATAATGAAATGGTAACACCAGGGAAAGAGAGAACATGATAAGGAAACACAGTGAACAGAAAATGAATTAATGGAAAACTCTTCACAGCTGCCCCAACTCTCTCTCCCTTTTTTTCCCGATGATGAATTAATCCAAATGCCTTACATATGCACTATATATGATACTTTTTTGTTCATTTCCATTGTGAATTGAATGCATTTTATTTTACACTGTATGAGTTCCATTGCAGTTTTGGTGTTCAAGCACTTGCACATTACAGTGTTACTGTTATTAATATTTTTCTTTATTATCATATGTTTTCACTGGCCACTGGCTGTCCCAGGAGACAGTTTGGTGGGCCTCTGTCCAGTCACTAGCAGCTGGGCTTCACTGGTACAAAGGGCATGGTGGAGAGGTCTTCATCCATTCCAGAAGAACAAGGCAATTCTGGGACAAATTTATTGCTATTAGTCATTCCTCTGTGTATGGGCCTCCTCCTGAATAGGAAGGAGGATAATAAATAAATTAATGCATAGACAATTAAGATGGACATTCTAGCCAACTCCTTTTCTGTTGCTGTTGGCCACGGTAGTACTTTACGTATTAATTTCTTGAAGTATGAATATTCAGTTTTCTTCACGCTGTTTAAGGTATCTTTTATGTCACCTTTAATTTTGACACATTTTATCAAAGAAGGAAAAGAAGGACAGTCCTATCCAAAATGACCTAACTAAAAGCTAAATAAAAGTAAAAAAATTCAATTCAATTCAATTTTATTTGTATAGCGCCAATTCATAACAGAAGTTATTTCAGGACACTTTTCAAGTAGAGCAGATCTAGACTGAACTCTTTATAACATTATTTACAGAGACCCAACAGTACCACCATGAGCAAGCACTTGGCGACGGGGGCAAGGAAAAACTGCCTTTTGAGAGAGGCAGAAACCTAGGACAGACCCTTCGGCTCTAGGTGGGTGGTCGTCTGTCTCGACCAGTTGGGGTGAGAGAGAGAGAGACAGACAGACAGACAGACAGAGACAGAGAGAGAGAGACAGACAGACAGACAGACAGGTGCACAGCAACAACAGCAATCTAGCAGGACCATGGCAGGAGGCTCCACCAGGATCGAACCTGCGAGACAAGAACGCACAAGAACTCTGGGGAAGAAGTGAAGTTAGTAACATGCATTAATGGGACATGAATGAGTGCAGAAAGAGAGAGGAAGAGAGGAGCTCAGTAGACAGATAGTCTAGGCCTAAGCAGCAAAACTAAGGGATGGTTCAGGACTCACCTGATCCAGCCCTCAAAGAGGAATGTCTTAAGCCTACTCTTGAATGTGGAGAGGGTGTCTGCCTCCCGAACCACAACTGGAAGCTGGTTCTACAAGAGAGGAGCTTGGTGACTGAAGGCTCTGGCTCCTGTTCTACTTTTAGAGACTATAGGAACCACAAGTAGCCCAGCATTCAGAGAACGTAGTGTTCTAGAGGGGTAATAGGGTACTATGAGCTCTTTAAGATATGAAGGGGCCTGACCATGAAGAGCTTTATAGATGAGGAGGAGGATTTTAAATTCTATTCTAAATTTTACAGGGAGCCAGTGCAGAGAATGCACTGCAATGCAGATTTAGCTGAAATTATGCAGATTTGAGGCCTACAACAGCAAATGTGTGTGTGTTTAAGCACATTTGCAGTCCCAGTGTCTTTGAAAAGGCAGCTATGTGGTCGTCATCTACTGTATATTGTTTAACCCTTGTGTGGTGTTCGGGTCTGTGGGACCCGTTTTCATTTTTTATTAAAAGAAAAATGATACAATTAATTAATTTTTCAAACTGAGACTCACTAACTTTGGCTCATTTTCTGTGAAGAACATATATCAGAATACATATTTAATGACCACACACCATACACCCCCCCTACACATTTCTATTACATATAAGATGTCCGGGTCTAATAGAAGTGTGGAAATTGATGTTCTGTGTACCCACCCACCCACCCACACACACACACACACACACACACACACACACACACACACACACACACACACACACACACACACACACACACACACAGGAGGCCTAGACAGGAGGAGGACAGAGTGTAGGTACACAGAACATCAGAGGGTCAAATGTGCGAGTGTCGAGTCTTCCAAGTTTGTATACACGGCTGACACATCCCTGGTATCCTATGTGCCAAAGAAAGGCAAGAATGTGGTACTCATGAGTACACTGCACGGGGATGGAAGAATCTGTGACCAGGAACATCACAAACCAGAGATCATCGTGGATTATAATGCCACAAAAGGAGGGGTAGACAACATGGACAAGCTGGTGATGGCCTACAGCTGCAAACGGAGGACTCTACGCTGGCCACTGGTGATATTCTTTGACATGTTGGACATCTCAGCGTACAATGCCTTTGTCATTTGGATGGCACTGAACCCAGAGTGGAAACCGAGTGAAGCTCCAGAAAAGACGGCTCTTTCTTGAGGATCTGGGAAAGGCATTGGTGAGACCACAAATCCAGAGAAGAAAACATATCCCCAGAACCCCAGCCTCTGCAGCCATGGTGAGGAGGATTCAGGAGGAGAATGCTGGTGCCCTGTCCACCCAACCTACAGAACCACAATCTGCAGAGCCTGAAGTAAGTGTGTGATGCTGTTGCAGTACATGTCTGGCACTCATGTCTTGTGAGAGAGAGAGAGAGAGAGGGGTGTTAGTAAAATTCCTGATCTTTTCATTATTCTAGGTTGTGAACACCAGCAACAAAAAGAAGCGGTGCGAAGTGTGCGGACCCAAGATGGACAGGAAAACACAATATACATGCATCAAGTGCAAAAAGTATATCTGCAACACACACACAGTAAAGCTCTGCCCCTCATGTGTTGTATAGGCTAGTGGCTAAAGGCCATGTGTTCAATGGGGCTGATGTGTTGTCTTGACTGATATGTTTACTCTGTGTTCATGTGTTTAGCTTGTGTTGTGCACCTGAATGGGTTAAATTTCAAGTTCAAAGAAATAAAAGTCAGTAGTTTTGAAAAACCTTGCTTCACTTGTAAATTTGTTTCCACTCATATCTTGATTTTAATTGATTTTCTTTATTATGTTTTAAATAATACGTTATAAATGTGACCTAACAAAGGTAAAGGGCAAATATTAACCATATATATTTTTTATACTGCTTGTAATTGGGATAAGGTAAACATCTGTTCAGTATTTTAACATAAAAGTGTTTGATTGTGAGGCATTAAAAGCCACAAAATAGACCCACAAACGCTGGCTGAGTAACAACAATATGAACATTACACAAGGGTTAAGAAAAGCAGCAGGTTGCATTTTAGTTGTAATACTGACAATGGACAACAGAGGGAGACACAGACAGTCTCACAGACATTATATCTGCAGATACAGTACATCAAATATCAAGTTGGCATCAACTGCCATTTATTTATTTTGAAGATTTTGAGCTTTTCAGTGCATTTACTCAACATATTGGAACAAATACAATACCATGTTGTGGATAAACCCTGATTTTAGTCACCTGTTAACGAATAACAACACATTTAGCAGACGTTCTAAACCAGGAAGGGAAAAAAAATATCATGTATTTAGACAGGAGGTAGAATAAACCACTAATTCCCAACATTTTTCCTTGAGGGACCCTTTCTATCATTGGGTGAACTTAAGACATCTGACTGACATGTTTTTTCAATGCATAACAAAAACAGTACAGAACAACCGATTAAGTGTGAACTGCATTAAGTTGAAATGCATAGAAAAAAATAGTATATTATCAGCATTTTAGGCACCCCCCAAAATTTCACAAATCATGTTTTCATGGGAGCTCATGTGTTGTGTACAACAAACAATTTCCTGTGAATATTGCAGCAGATGTGAGCTTTCCTGATAATCTTTACTAACAATCATGAACTCTCTGCAGAAGGGATAAGTCGCAATATCTGTAAACACAGATAACTCTTCTCACAGTGATTTAGTGAGACAAGGATGAACAACAAAAGCAGCCTGTAAATAGTGTCTGAAGGCATGGGAAATGGTGTGATGAGCAAAACATGTTAGTGAGGTAGTGGAGCTGCCTGAAGTGAAATAATAGCATTGTGTCATTTGTTGCAGTGGAAACATTCCAGCTGTTATACACAAATTTAAATGATTTCTATCTTTTATCATGTAAAGTATTTCAAACTGCATTTATAGGTAATTGCATGCACCATGCAGTTAAACTTGATTATGGTCTTCAATGCCAATTTCACACAATGCTTAGAATAGCTCTGACCCTTGCTCAGGTAGTTGTCCTTAAAGGTTAGGTCAGTCATTCTAGAGAAAGATAGTTGATTATTGTATGTTTATGAAGAATGACTGACCCCAAATTTAATAGAACATTTGTGCATTAAAATGTCTAAAATCTCTAGACCTATGTTATATATTTTGTTGAGTTGTGTACTTACATTATCCCAAATGTTTCCAACAATGTTCAGACCCAGAGAAATCTTTACTTTTATTTAGGTAATGGTAAGAAGCTGACTTCAATGATGGCAATAGTGGTGAAGACAAGAACTCCCAAGCTACTTCATGTTGTCAAACTTCATATTTTGGTATTGTTTTGAATGGGAGAGACCCCCTAGTGGATGAAATGACATATGCGTTGACAATTAACCTTGAATCCATGAAAGTAATACACCATACATTGTGGGTAATAAACATCAAGTTAGCATCTCATTCTAAACTGTATGAATACTATTAACTATCTCTGCATTCCTATCTGCAATGACTACCAACAGCATAGAAATCATAATTCAAGTGGTAGAGCCAGTTGGGGTAGTTATGGGACTTTTCTCTCATTCTGCTGGTAGGCTGGAAGGCCACACAGTAAACTACAAGACAGTTTTGACCATCTGGAAATTCTGAGATTTAGTTTGTTTGCAAGTCATTTCTTCTAAATACTTTTAGATGTGCAGACACCACAACATATCACATACAGAAAAACTGAAATTAATTAAGAAAATTAAAAATACAAAAAACACACAAAACAAAAACAACAATAAAATAAATCAAGACTATCAAAAACACAAGATTAAGTATGATCACCTCCCAATTAAGTGGGGAAGGGGTTTCTGCACGCAAATGCTCTCTTATAATAGTTATAACTAATTATTTAAAATGTTTGTGTAAATGATAAACCTTTGGACTTTGGACCTTTGTTTTACTTTTTAAGACAAAGCATCATATAATGGATATGATGATATATATGATGGATGTGCTTGAATATACAGGGGTATACATACACTGTCACTGTCCATTATGGAGAGTTTAAACTGCAACTGTATGAAAAACATTTAATTTTCTGAGTACTGTTTTCAGTCTTGTTAGCTGGGGTTGCATCATATGTTGATAAGTTCAATGTCTTGTCTTCTCACAGAGTTTGCGTCATGTGTTGTGTGGATTTTACATCATATGTTTACTTTGGAATATGGATGTTTTCCTTAACACCTATGATTGGAATGATCCCTCTGAGATTAGAGTTTGCAGTCATCTGAAGTTAATGCAAGAAGGTGTGAATCCTTAATGAGAGAGATTCATAACAGGGCATTTACTATTTTTTTTTTTTGACAAAGTCTAGTCAGTCAGGTAGTGTGTCTGTCTTGTGTGTGTGTGTGTGTGTGTGTGTGTGTGTGTGTGTGTGTGTGTGTGTGTGAGAGAGAGAGAGAGAGAAAGGGAGAGATGGAGAGAAGAGCATATCGTTAGGTGCAGATTTTGTTAACAGAACACTGAATAACAACCATGACCAAACCATGATACCAAGAATTCCTTCCTTTTTTTCTTTTATATACACATATTTATTCAGTCATATATGCAGTTATAAAGGGTGTAAATAAATGTATTAAATATAAAGTGACATATCAATAAGGTGCAAGCAATGTGTTACTTTTGAGCTTGAGAGGTCAAGAGTTGAACAGTCTTATGGCCTGTGGAGAGAAATCCCACAGGCCATAATACTGTTGAACCTTTGGTGTGGGACCAGATGCTCCGTTGCTGTCTACAGCAGGCCACAGTTGGTGGATGGTTGGTTGTGGTCTTTGATGATGCTGTTGGCCTTCTTCCTCCACCACTGGGCCCTCCATGAATGGCAGCTTCATGCTGGTGATGTGCTGGGCAGTTTTCACTATCCTCTATGATGCCTTACAGTTGAGGGCGATGCAGCTGCTTTTCAAGAAACTCAAAGACACTTTTCATAAGTTAAAAGGAAAAGAAGAAATTATAGCTATATCTACAACACAACTATGAATTAATCAATAAAAGCACTTCTGAAATGATGGGTTTTGATCAGTGATTTGGATGGATCAGTACAGTCTCAGATTTATTTGGGGAGAGAGTTCCAGAAAGAGGGGGCAGCAATGGATAAAGTCTTTGTTGCCCCAGGTACGATGCTTGGTCCTCAGTGGTGGAGACAGGAGGTTGGCCGAAGGATCTGTCCTAGGTTTCTGCCTCTCTCAAAAGGCAGTTTTTCCTTGCCCCCATCGCCAAGTGCTTGCTCATGGTGGTACTGTTGGATCTCTGTAAATAATGTTATAAGGAGTTCGGTCTAGACCTGCTCTATTTGAAAAGTGTCCTGAGATAACTTCTGTTATGAATTGACGCTATACAAATAAAACTGAATTGAATTGAATTGCCTTCAACACAGTCAACCATACTATTCAAATCAGCTGACTCAGGAACTAGGTAGGCATACATGAAGCTGCTCTTAACTGGTTTTTATCCAACAGTACTACAGTTACAGCTACAGTTCCTCTCTGCTCTCTTGTCATGCGGGGTCCCACAGGGATCAGTCCTTGGCCCTATTTTATTCTCTGAGCACCGACCATGTGAAGGCCCTATTGTATCTGTAGGATTTTTTTTCTTTTTCTTATTTTTCCTCCAAAACGAACGCATATTTAGAGGCCGCAACATGCTCAAAAACTCATGAAATGCGGTGCACATGTCAGTCATGACGAAAAATTTCGGATTAGCATGGCAAAATGGCCCCTCAGGGGCCCATTAACTGATTTAATGGTCATTTCTGGCAATTTACACATGTTATATTTGAACAAAGTCCTCCTTGTCCTCCTCGCCGCAAGTTTTTGAGCATGTTGCAACCTCCAAAAATGTGATAATTTGGGAGCAACAATAAGAAAAAGAAAAATAATTTATTCAAATACAATTCGCACAGTCAGTGCTCAGGCCCTCATTATAATATGGGTGCAAAATGTAACGATAAGGGAATTTACTCCCTTGGAGAGTAAAATGTACAGCTTTAGTTAACCCAACTTCAACTTGAGGCATCTGGCTGGACATATAAACATAAAACAAAGTTAGGAGAATAAGCACAGAAGATATAGTAGCCTACGGTCAATCTCTATGGCCAGAAGAGGCAGCAGAGATGAGGAGGAAGGAGGTGTGGACAGGGAGGATAGAGATAAATTAGTTGTATAGCAGAATGCTTTGGTCATAAAGCTGTCAGAGCTCAGCAGATTCTCCTCTCTGTGCTGATGGAGACCTTGGAGGGAAGTGAACTCTGCTTTCCACAACTCCTCAACACCTCCTGCAGGAAGCCAGTGCGGCCTCACTTTGAGACCATGCTGATTTACATTCTGCTGTCCTCCATCTCTCTCCTCACTGCAGTTCTTAACCTGCTGGTCATCATCTCTATCTCCCACTTCAAGTAGATAATCATTCATTTATGAAACTGATAGATAGTAATAAAAAAGTACTGCCTGATTGTGAGGAATTTTCACAAGTAATGTTGTTGTACTTAAGTCTTTGCTCTTACTGTTTTTATCGGAATTATGATTGACACTATTAATAATAAATATATTGCTGGTCTTCCTCCCCAGGCAGCTGCACACTCCCCCGAACCTCCTCCTCCTCTCTCTGGCTGTCTCGGATTTCTTCGTGGGCCTCCTCATGTTCTTTCAAATTATGATCACAGATGGCTGCTGGTTCTTTGGTGACCTCATGTGTGTTGTGTATCAGTATCTAGCATACATTGTTGCCGCTGCCTCAATAGGAACCATGGTGCTTATATCTATTGACCGCTATGTGGCTATTTGTCATCCTCTGCATTACTCCACCAAAGTCACACAAAATAGAGTTCAAGTCTGTATTTGTCTGTGTTGGATGTGTTCTGTAATCTTTCACAGTCTGATACTGAAGGATAACCTGGAACAACCAGGCAGGTATAACTCCTGCAAGGGAGAGTGTGTATCTTTCATTAACTACATTGCTAGAATTGCAGATCTTGTTTTTTCCTTTATTATTACCACTACTGTTATTGTTGTTCTGTATATGAGAGTTTTTGTGGTGGCTGTGTCTCAGGCTCGTGCCATGCGGTCACATATTGCAGCTGTCACACTCCAGAAATCAGTGAAAGTAACTGCTAAAAAATCTGAAATGAAAGCAGCCAGGACTCTTGGTGTTGTTGTAGTTGTGTTTCTAATATGTACCTGCCCATATTATTGTGTTGTGCTAACAGTCCAAGATAACTTGCTCAATGCTTCATCTGCTGCGTTTGTAATTTTTTTGGTCTATTTTAACTCCTGTCTAAACCCTATGATCTATGCCTTATTTTATCCCTGGTTTAGAAAATCCATTAAGCTCATTGTTACATTGAAGATACTGCAGACCGACTCCTGTGAGGCCAACATGTAGAGAGATTCTGCATGGTGAGTGAAATTAGTCTAGTTTAGATGAAGCACCTGTTCTAGGATTCAATGTGCAGTGTGTATGTATCAGAACTGTGACATATGTTTTGTGCTTGCTGTGTACGCAAGCACAGAGGATTTGCGAAGTAACTGAGTCCCAACCCTTAGCTGTATTTTTGTAGCTGCATATACCTTGCAGGACTGTGCACAGCTAAAGCGAAAACTGCCAGACATTGTAATGATTCTTAAAGCAAAACATTGTCTAAAAATTATATATGATTTTGTCAAGTTCAGTGAGGAAAACTGATCTGAAGTCAGTAGTTTTTAGTGTTCAGTCATCAATGTTGTATTAGACTCGGCCATATTAGCATTTGCTTGATACAATTGGTCTTAAGTTTAAAAGATGTACATGACTGTCCTCTCAATATTTATAATTGTAAACTGTATGGCCTTCTTTATTAATGTCTTTTTTGCTCCGGTATGAATAGTATTTAAGACATATTCGCAGGTGAGTATTTTGCATTTTTGTGTCATTTATTCTTCTTGCCCCCTGGTGTGTAAAGGCCTATATACTAAAGTAAGGTCTTAAATGCAGAAAAGTGAATGTTGGGTGTCAACTTCCCTCTGTCAGTCAATCAAATATAGTATGTGCTGGGAACACCATTTGATTCGTATAACAATTTGATAAGTCATATGGCATAGGGGACATTTTCTGCTAAATAAATTCCCCATTATGTCACCGTTAGAGGCACCCAGAGACAGACAGTGGGGAAAAAGAGAGACCCAGAGACAGACTGTGGGGAAAAAGAGAGACAGGCACACAGAGACAGACAGTGGGAAAAGAGACAGACAGATAGTTGGAAAGACAGACAGATGAAAAGACAGAGAAATGTATAGTTGGAAAGACGGACAGACAGACAAAGAGATACTTGGAATCTATGAATTATATAGTAATATTACAAAAAATGATGATCAGTACAAGATATTCACAAAATGGAAAATTCTGGAGGCGGTGATAAAAAACAACCAAAACCCTCTAGATTACCCAGTAACAGAACAAGAATTAACAGAAGTCATCCAGTCCCTGAAAGGAAAAAAGGCTTGTGGTATTAAATGATCAAATGCTCAGACCTTAAAGTCAGATTGGCTATACTAAAACTATTCAACACTATTCTGTCAACTGGAGCTTTTCCAGACATCTGGAACAAAGGTTTAATAACCCCAATTCATAAATCCGGAAATAAATATGATCCAAATAACTACAGAGGAATATGTGTCTCCAGTAACCTGGGAAAAATATTCTGCAACATCATTAATAAACAACTTGTCAATTTTCTTGATGACCACAATATTCTGCATACATGCCAAATTGGCTTCTTGCCAAATTGCTGCCCAACAGACCATATATTTACCCAGACTTTAATTGATTAAGAATTAAAAATTAAGAAAAGAAAGTTATATGCATGTTTTGTTGACTTCAAAAAAGCCTTTGATTCGATCTGGCACAAGGGCCTTTTCTATTGGCTACTAGAAAGTGGCATTGGAGGAAAAACATATGATCTGATTAAGAACATGTATACAAAAAGTGAATGTGCCGTAAAGATTGGAAACAAACAAACAGCATTCTTCTCCCAGGGCCAGGGAGTGAGGCAGGGATGCAATCCAATTCTCTTCAATCTATATATCAATGAATTAGCGAACCAACTAGAGCATTCCATGGCACCTGACCTCACCCTGAACGACACAGAGATCAGAGGTCTGCTATATGCAGATGACTTAGTGTTGCCTTCACCTACTAAAGAAGGTTTGCAGCAGCACCTTAATCTCCTGCAGAGATTTTGTCAGACATGGATCCTGACAGTAAACACAGCAAAGACTAAGATTATGATCTTTCAGAAACAATACAGAAATCAGATTATACACAATTGCTATTTTGACACCACTAAATTACAACATACAAAAAACTACACTTACCTTGGCCTCAACATTACACAGGAAACCTCAACATGGCTGTGAAAGATCTGAGGGACAAAGCAAGGAGAGCTTTCTATGCAATAAAGAGAAACATTAAAATCTATATTCCAATCCAAATCTGGTTTAAAATTTTCCAATTTGTACTAGAACCAATAATTCTATATGGCAGCGAAATTTGGGGACCAAAACTAAATAATAAATTTGACAAATGGGACAAAACAATCATAGAATCTTTCCACACTGAGTTCTGTAAAAGCATCCTGCCGGTGCAGAGAAAAACACCAAATAATCTGTGCAGAGCAGAACTCGGCCAATACCCCCTCCTACTAAAAACACAGAAAAGATCAATTAAATTTTACAATCACTTAAAATCAGTTAACCCCCAGACATACCATCACAAAGCCCTAACATACCAGGAGCTGAAACCAGAGAAGAGTCCCCTCAGCCAGCTGGTCCTGAGGCTCTCTGCAGTAACATGTCCCCAACAGCCTCAGGACAGCAACACCAACTCAATCAGACCAAACCAAATTATCAACAAGCAAAAAGAAAAATATATTGAATACTGGAAAGAAACGACCAAAACGCAAATTAAATTTCAATGTTATCTGACCCTAAAAAGAGAATTCAAACTGGCAAATTACCTGAACACAATACAATGTCCTAAATTAAGAAAAATGTTGACAACGTACAGACTGAGTGAACACAGCCTGGTGAACACCACTAAATTACAACATAAAAAACAGACAGAACTGGCTGCCAGAAGAGGAGAGACTCTGCTCCCAGTGTGACAGAGGACAGGTAGAGACAGAGCTGCACTTTCTAACCTCGTGCCCTAAATTCTAAACTTTAAGAGAAAAACAATTCGCAAACATTTCCCAAATTTGAGGGTAGGTTGATCTATGCAGAAGCAGCAGAGCCATTTTAAAAAGCCGCCGCAAATGCAGGCGCAACAGCTAAACAAACGCAGCAGCAGTTACACAGGAGGAGAACAAAGACGAGTTTGCAGAACTACGCACAGTTTCGAGGACGTTGTCACAACAGTTAGGTTGTTTACATTATATTTAGTTGTGTTTAGTTGCACAGTCTTAGTTACACAGCTTTGGCCGATTTCAGTTGACTTCGCTCGTTAGCAACACGCTAACGTTTTGCAGTGCACCCGGTCCGAGGGCAATGGCATGTCTCATGAACAACAGAAATGTCAGAGCTAGGTCTAGGACGAAAACGAATAATTGACATCTGGTCACACTTCACATATGACAACAAGGACAACAAGACCGTCTGTAAACCGCGTGGAGCAAAAATCGCTGGGAAAAACACAACCAACTTGAAGTGACATTTACAGACGACTCATCCAGAAATACATGCAAAGGTAAGCATATACACTAAGGTTATTTTAACAGATAAACCACCGTGTTTCCGCTAAACTTGGAATAAAATTGAAGCTAAAGGAAACCACCTCTGAACTCACCACATTCAAGAGTAGGCTTAAGACATTCCTCTTTGATAAAGCTTATAGTTAGGGCTGGATCAGGTGAGTCCTGAACCATCCCTTAGTTATGCTGCTATAGGCCTAGACTATCGGGGGATTTCCCATGGTGCACTGAGCTACTCTCTTCCTCTCTCTTTCTGCACTCATTCATGTCCCTTTAATGCATGTTACTAACTCCACTTCTTCCCCGGAGTTCTTGTGCTTTCTCGTCTCGCAGGTTCTCATGGATCCTGGTGGAGCCTCCTGCCATGGTCGTTGACTGCCATTGCCAATACTGTTGTTGCTGTGCACCTGTCTGTCTGTCTGTCGCTCTCTCTCTCTCTCTCTCTCTCTCTCTCTCTCTCACCACAACTGGTCGAGACAGACGACCACCCACCTAGAGCCGGAAGATCTGTCCTAGGTTTCTGCCTTTTAACAGGCAGTTTTCCCTTGCCCTTGTCGCCAAGTGCTTGCTCATGGTGGTACTGTTGGGTCTCTGTAATTAATGTTAAAGAGTTCGGTCTAGACCTGCTCTATTTGAAAAGTGTCCTGAGATAACTTCTGTTATGAATTGGCGCTATACAAATAAAATTGAATTGAACTTTATTGATTAGACGATTGTCTCGCTGAATTAATATGAGTATAAATATTCAATGTCCTCAAATTGAATCAAATGTGTACTATTATAGTAGATGTTGTGGTGTTGTATATGACTGGACAAAGGGTTGTGTGTGTGTGTGTGTGTGTGTGTGTGTGTGTGTGTGAGTGAGTGAGTGAGTGAGTGAGTGGAGAGTGAGAGAGAGAGAGAGAGAGAGATCTGAGGAGATTGGGCAAGAAAGAAAAAATCACAACTTGATTCCCCCTTTATTCACCCTCACAGATACAGAAGACATCTGATGACAAAGATGACCATGGGCCAAGTGGAAATAAAGCTAGTGCTGCTAGTGCAACCCAGCAGCAGGCCATCTCTACAGCTTTCCTAAGTTCTTCAAAGTACAAAACTGAATCGAAGGAACAACAGACCAAGGAGCAGGCCATAGCTAGATGGATTGGACGCACAGGTTTACCACTCACAACAATTGAAGACGAGGACTTTGTGCTAATGATGAAGATAGTAGATAGGAGACTAACAGTTCCAAAGAAAACTAAAATGAGCAATTTGATTGAAACACAGTATGAACACGAAAGGCAAAAATTCAAAGAGAGACTGGCTGCTGCCCGGAGAGTATCCATTGGCCTTGACTTGTGGACAAAAAAAGGACTGACAGCCTTATTCCTTGCTATAAGCGCATGCTACTTTTGTGTTGAACAAAATAAACCTGTACACATATTGTTGGCCCTTGAACAAGTAGCTCACCCACACACTGCACAGTCTATTAAGGCATGTGTGGACAAATGTATGCAAGAGTGGGCCATACCAAAGGAGAAGATCCTGATGGTAATAACGGACAATGGGAGTAACATGGTGGCAGCCTTTAAAAATACCACAGCAGAAGAAACCAGCTCTGAGGAGGACTCCCCTGGGTCCACGATGGAAAGTGACTCTGAAATTGATGACCAGCGGTGAGCCATGTTTAGTTTATTCTTTTACATGACAGTCAATTATCACATGAATGATTTTCCCCCTGCCACACACTACATATATACAGTATATACAGACATACACCAGCCACTTTATTAGGTTTAGACTTATTTGGTTGTCTTTTCTTCTTGTTATTAGGTACCATCATGTCGACATTGAAATGGACCAGACACGGTGCGTGGTGCATACCATACAACTTCTGGTCCACATGTTGCAGAAAGATACAACTGTCAAAAGAGTCCTCGATAAAGTAAGGTCTGTGGTGAAGCTCTTTCGCAAGTCCTCGGTTGCAACACAGTGTGGACCAGTGTGGTGTTATTGTTGTAAATGACTGCCCCACACACTGGTCAAGCACATTCAACATGGTCACACGACTCCTCACAGTCAAAGATGCAGTCTGTCAAATCACAAATGACATGGGATGGGACAGTTTGCTTACTAGTGAGTGGCAAAAGCTTTCATCATTGCACGACCTACTGCTGCCTTTTGCGGAACACACTAAAACCCTCCAGAGTGACACCACATCTATGTCCCTAGTGGTTCCTGCCCTCTTTGATCTGCTGAGCCACCTAACTGACTTACATTCAAACTCATGTTAAATAGTAGTCAGTACACACCTGCTATCATTTAAAATGACTCTGATTAATCCCAAATAAAGTTCAGCTGTTCCAGTAGGACTTTCCTGACATTTTCTCAGTTGCATCTCAGAGCAAAAGCCATGGTCTGCAAAGAGCTTCCAAAACATCAGAGGGATCTCATTGTTAAAAGGTATCAGTCAGGAGAAAGGGAAAAAATAAATTTCCAAGGCATTAGATATACCATGGAACACAGTGAAGTCATCATCAAGTGGAGAAAATATGGCACAATAGTGACCTTACCAAGAACTGGCTGCCCCTCAAAAATTGATGAAAAGACGAGAAGAAAACTGGTCAGGGAGGCTTCCAAGAGGCCTACAGCAACATTAAAGGAGCTGCAGGAATTTCTGGCAAGTACTGGCTGTGTACTACATGTGACAAAAATCTCCAGTATTCTTCATACGTTTGGGCTATGAGGTAGGATCCAAGCCCGGCTAAATTTTGCAAAAAAAAAATACATGAAGTCTCCCAAAAGCATGTGGGAAAATGTGTTATGGTCTGATGAAACTAAGGTTGAACTTTCTGGCCATAATTTCAAAAGATATGTTTGGCGCAGAAACAACACTGCACATCATCCATAGAACACCATACCCACAGTGAAGCATGGTGGTGGCAGCTAGTGATGGCAGTGTGACACTGAAGCTTCGATACATGCTTCGAACCCTGAACTACAATTCCATAGAACCACTCCTTCAAAGCTTGCTTTGGTCCGAAAAAAATCACGTGACAAATGACGTCCGAAGCAGCAACTGTTTTGTTGCCTGAATGAATGTTCGTGGTCCAATCAGGTGATTCACTGCCCCGATTCCGACAGGTGACAGGTTGAAACAGTTTTGAATTTGAGCGCCATTAACACTTTATAAACGCTCTAAACAATGCACAATTTGTGGGTTGTTATCGTAGTTGCAGAGTTATTGCATTTGTATTGATTCATTGCGTTTGTATTGATTCATTGCGTTTGTATTGATTCATTACGTTTGTATTGATTCATTATGGAGCCAGCCAGGAAGAGAGGTCATTCTAACATGTGGGAACACTTCAGTTTGGTCGCTCCTGATAAGGTAGGTGTGCTGTTTAATATGTACTGTTTAATATGTAAAGTAGGAAAAGTAAAGTTACATATACAACAGAAACTACCAGTACAGTACTATAGCTATGGTCCATCTCAAGTTTATAATAAGTAGCAACACACTAAAATAATGTATATGATTAGTGTAGCCATTAGGCTATAGCTGTATAGACATTTTTATTTACAAATTGCTTTCTCTACAGGTCCAGTGCTTGGTGTGTTCGGCTGAACTGAAGTATCATGGCAATACTTCCTCCATGATAAGGCACTTCACTGCCAAGCATGGAGCTGCTGTGAACCAGGGCAACACAAATCAAGGTATGCATTATATCATTATTAATTAGACACACTAACACAATATGATATGACTGTATTCCATGATTCATAGACCTGCTTCATAGAAATGCAATTTCACATAAATCCTTATTTTCTTTTATTCATTTTCTTTCTGGACCTAAAGCGAGAGCTCGATGAAGCTCTTGTCAATATGGTGGTGAAAGACTCGCAGCCTTTTTCCATCGTGGATGACTGTGGCTTCAAGGAGTTTGTGGCATTGCTTGATCCCACATATAGTCTTCCATCCCGACGGGCTCTGAAGAACATGGTGGTTCAGAGGTATGAGGTGGAGAAAACCAAGGCCAAGGCTGTAATTCAGAGGGTAGAGGCTGTGAGCCTGACTGCGGATATGTGGACCTCCATTAATATGGACGCATATCTAGCAGTGACGTGCCATTATCTGGATGAGTCTGTGAAGCTGGCCACAGTGCTTTTGGGAGTGTTGCCTTTCCCTGAAGCCCATACAGCTGCCAACATTACTGCTGCAACGAGGTCTCTCATGGAAGAATGGAGCATTGAAGGCAAAGTAACATCAATTGTTACAGATGCAGGAGCTAACATGGTTGCCTCTGTCAGAAGCTTAAATTTAAGACATGCACTTTGCTTTGCTCATTCGCTTAATTTAGTGGTGAAGAAGTCTCTTGATGCGACTCCTGGCCTAGAAGACCTTCGCACAAGGGCACGCAAAGTGGTCACACTTTTTAAAACCAGCACAACAGCAAGAGAAAAGCTAAAAGAAGTGCAGGAGCAGATGAACCGTCCTGTAATGAAGCTGATTCAGGAGGTGGACACACACTGGAACAGCACCTTCCTAATGCTGCAACGTCTTTTTAAAAAGAGACAGTCAGTGGGGGCAGCTCTTGCAACGCTGAAAACAGATGTGAGACCTCTGTCCTCCGAGGACTATGAGACAGCTTCTGCATGCCTGCAATTGCTGGGCCCCTTTTACCAGGCAACAGTAGAGCTGTCAGAGGAGAAGAGGGTCTCAGGGTCAAAGGTCATCCCTATGATAAAGATGTTGATGCTGTACTTATATGACACAGTGGGAAACATAAGCCATGACACTGCAAAACAACTGGGACAGAACTTGGTGTCGGTGATGCTCAACAAATTTGACACAACAGAGAACCAAACTGCACTGAACCTGTCAACACTGCTGGACCCAAGATTTAAAACCCTAGGCTTTTACAACCAAGTACAAGCACAATCCTCAGTAAAACACCTGACTGCACAGTGTTCCCAGGTAATACGAGACACCCCTACTGAAGAACAGCCTTCAACATCAGATCAACCAGCAAATGTTGGAAATCCACCATCCACAGGTATGTTATAATGGTAGTATAAGTATAAAGTAATAGTGTTAATTGATAAAATTAGCTTTCGTATTGATGACTGCCATCTGTTTGTCTTTCAGATATTAACCTTTGGGCACCTTTGGATAGAGATGCGTCTGAAGCCAGGAGGGCAAGGAATGCCACAGCAGATGCCACAGTAGAGGTG